GGTGGAATGAGGTGGGCAAGGAGACAGTGGCTCGCACAGGTGGCCGCGGGTCATGGCTGCCGAGCATGGGGTGGCCACCTCCGCCGCCCCACTGGCCCAAGCAGCCACGCAGTCCTTCTTTCCCCCCTCTGCACCCCACCCCGAACCTGGCCCTGCGCTGTGGCGGCGTGTCCCTCGCCCCGCTTTCCCCACGCAGGTAGTAGTAGGCAGGGGCTGGATGCGGCAGCCCCACTACCGGACCCACTGGGACCCCAGTCCAGCCCGCCAGCCCCACAGCGCGGATCCTAGCATCCCCGTCTTCCCTGGCCGCTGCCCACCTTACAGGAGCCCCTTGCAGATAGCCGGCGGGGAGGACCGGGCTCCCCAGCTGGTCGGTGCGGTGCAGCGGCCATCAGGCAGCCCTGCGGACTCGGGGTGTCTAGGCCGCGGCGGCCGCGGGCTGCGGACGGGGGCGGCGCCGTGACGCGCGCGGGGCGGGGAGAGGAAGGGGAGTCGCTGACGCCGCGGCGGCCTCGGCGGCTCCAGCCTTTTGTGCGGCCGGCGGGGTCGGGTGGGGGCGGCGGCCGCACGGAAGGCAAGGCCGGGGCCCCTGCGGGGACGCCCGGCGCAGCCCAGCCCCGCGCGCAGCCGGGGCCCTGCCGTGCCCTGCCCTGCGCCCTGGGCGCCGCCGCCGCGCCGCATCCATGTTCGAGTAAGAACCGGGGCCGCCGGCACCGGGCACCGGGCACCGGGCACCGGGCGCCGGGGAGGGGGCGGCTACGCGGGCTTGAGGTGGCACGCGGCCGAGGCAGGGTCCCGAACTCGTACACGTGGACCTAGGTCGGAGCGGCTACGAGTTGGTGGGGTGCAGAGGAGAGACGAGGGGCGCAGCCCCTGGTGGAATGCGGGCGGCCAGGGTTGGAGAGGGGGTCCAGCCGCGGGCGCACGAGGCTCTGGAGGGCGCGGGCTCGGTGTGGGGGACCTGCGAGGAGGCCGGGGTCTCCTCTTGGGGGCCGCGCGGCCTGTGGGGAGCTCCCATCACCCCGAGCTGGGCTGGTTCTCTGTCCGGGGAGGCCGGCGGTGGACCCGACGCGGGCCCGGGGTGAGGAGGGGTTGGCGAGCAGCTCCCTCTCACAGCCCTGGTCAGAGTTGGGGGGCAGGGACCCCCGCGTGGACCTGGTGTGGGGGGGCGAGTGCCTCCCAGGCCATCACAACAATGTTTCCGATGATGAACTTGAATGTGTGTGTCCCTGTGGGCAGCAGTGTGTGTTGGAGTGGGTGTGGGGATAGGGGTGGGCTCTCGTGTGTGAATTGCAGTAGGGGCTGGGGCGCCCTTGCATGTGGCTGTGGGGTTGGTGATCCTGTGTGTGGCGTGTCTCCTTGCCTTTGTGGCTCCATGTGCGAGTGCAGGTTCCCCGTGTGTGTGTGTGTGCTAGTCGCAGCTTTGTTGTGGGGTGCCCCGGCTGTGCGTTTGGTGTGTGTGCATGTTCAGCCTGTGGCTCCGGGTGCGTGTCTAGCTGAGCTTTGCAGGGTGTACACATGTGCGCCTGTAACGTACACCCGAGGCTTTTGTTCAGCTCCCTGTGCCGATGTAAATTACCCGTGTGTGGCTGTGTGACACTGGTGTGTCCAAGGCCCTGTCTCTGTGTGTGTGTGTGTGTGTCCCAGGCCCTGTGTGTGTGAGTGGCTGTGTGACACTGGTGTATCCAAGGACTTGTGTGTGTGTCCTAGGCCCTGTGCGTGTTTGTGTCCCAGGCCCTGTGTGTGTGTGTGTGTGTGTGTGTGTGTGTGTGTGTGTGTCCCAGGGCCCTGTCTCTGTGTGTGTGAGTGGCTGTGTGATACTGGTGTGTCCCAGGCCCTGTGTATGTGTGTGTCCCGGGCCCTGTGTGTGTGTGTGTGAGTGGCTGTGTGACACTGGTGTGTCCAAGACCCTGTGTGTGTGTGTGTCCGTCCCAGGGCCCTGTGTGTGTGTCCCAGGGCCCTGTGTGTGTGTGAGTGGCTGTGTGACACTGCTGTGTCCCAGGCCTGTCTGTGTGTGTGTAGTTTTGTATATCCACTGGTGCCGTGGCCCTGTGACCCTCTGTGGCGTTCTTTGTGTGTGTGGAGTGTTAGAGCGAGAGGGTGAGGCAGAGACCCCTCGTGGCTCTCTCTGGGCTTGGGGTCCTCCCTGCTCAGTCTGCCCTTGACTGTGGAGGCAACAGGAAGGATTGGCCTTTGTGCCTCTCCCACTTCATTGCAAAGATGTTCCATGTGCCCGCCATTGCCGGGCCACTATACAGGTATGTCCTCAGCCCCCTAGGGTCTTGGGTGTCCACGGTCGTGGGGAAGCGAGGCTGGGTTCTCTGCCCCTTGGCACTTTAGCACTGGCTCTCCCACCGAGGGCCCTCCCCATGGGGACCCCAGGCTAGTGCAGGCAACCTCTAGCCCTCGCTGGCATCCCACTGGGCCTGTGTCTGCGTGGCTGCACTTGGCTTTCTGTTGTGTGCGTTGAGGGGTGTGGGTGTGCTTCTGTCACCCCCAGCAGCCTTGTGTGATTGTTGTGTCTGAGTGTGACCGTCCCTGGACGCCACCTGCATGTGTGAGAGCGGGGAGAGTGACTTCTCCCGGCTGTAGGCAAGCGCAGTCGCCCCCCCGCCCCTGCCGACCCTGGCTGTCTGCTACCCTTAGTGGGTTGCATTTGTGCCTGCCCTGTGGAGGCCCAGGAAATGAGGGGTGTGGTGTCTGCAGTGCAAAACCCCCACTCTGCTCTGAGTCCCCACCCCACTCCCACGCCCCCTTCCAGCGTGCCTCCAGGCTCCCTCCCTCCCTCCCCCACAGTGGGCCTGGTAGGGCAGCCCCTTGGAGCACTTCCTCTTTGTTCTGCTCTAGTGAAGCAGCTGGAGGTGTGCGTGCACTGTAGCCTGGCCTCAGCTTCCTGCTCCTGAGCCCTGCCCCAGACCTGCAGCTTCCAGGTCAGGTCTGTGGGGGGCAGGGGAGGGGTGCAGTCACCCCCATGGAGCCCACATTCCTGACTGTGTCCTGTGCTCCTCTTGCACGCCTCCCCCTGCCTGCCACCTTGCACCTCCTCAGCCCTGCCCAGCTCCTTCATGCCCTGAACTTGATGTTCCCGCACCGGAACAATCTTCTCCCGCCCTGCCAGATCTGCGCCTTGTCCCCAGAGCTTGGCCCAAGTGAGCCTGGCGCAGCACTGCCCCAGCCAACTCTGACAGCAGAAGCCACGTCCACCCCTAGCTTTCCTGTCCTTTTTTCTCTGCTGCCCTCCAACTTGAATGGGCAGCAGTGGGACCTCCTGGTCCTTGGCCTCCTACCAACTTCCACACCCAGGAGATGGAGAGAGGGTCCCGGAACCTGCAAGTTGCAATAACTGCTGGGGGCTGGGGGATGCTGGCCACACCAGCCCACGGCTGAGGTCAGCAGCCTCATTGCGGGGTTTGCCTGGAACTCCGAATGACAGGTCGCCACAGGCAGGGGCGGGCAGGCTGTGCACATCGTGTCCCCAGGGCCAGGGGCAAGGCAGGTGCTCAACAATAAGTGACTGAGTTTGGGGTTGGTGCGTGGAGACCCCTCCTGGCTGCTGAGGTCCCGTGGGGATGAGGAAGACAGCGCAGTGTCTGGCACAGGGTGGCTAGGAAGATGACAGGGCGGTACCCTGGACATTGTTCATTGACCAGCTGCCATAGGGGCAACCTGCTAAGCACTGGGCTTCATACTGTTATCTCTCTTTCCCTTCCAAGCAACCCTACCAGCTGGGTGCTGTTTTTATGCCCATTGCTCACAAGAGAAAATTGCGGCCAGAGCAGGTCCAGGCCCTGGGCCAAGTCCCTGCTGGGAGGAAGTGGCCAGCATTGAGACTGGAAGCTGGTCAGACTCTGGGGCCCACGCTCCATGCTGCTACTTCCTCTAAACCTACAAGTCCGAGGTAGCCAGCACACCCCTGGTTGGATAAGTTCTGTGGGGGCCGGTGGGGCGAGGGGGTGGGGGAGCACCTGCTGGGCTTTAAAGCTCTTTGCCCAGTGCCAGGGATACTCAGAGTGAAAAGGAGAACCTGGGGGATATGGAAGTGCCCCTGGGAGACAGCAGAAGAGGAAGAGGGGAGAGAGAGGGCTGGGAGAGACCCCTCTGACCTGCAGGAGGTGAGGGGTCCCTGGGCCATCTGGGAAGGAGAGTGCTGGCGTAGGGCGCAACAGGAGCCCACAGACAGGAGCCCACAGAGAGAGCTCAGGAGGGGGAAGACACAGATGGAGCAGCCCGGCCTGGGCTTTTACAGGGAGGACAGACGCAGGTGGCGAGCAGACCCTGTGGGCAGGTCAGGGAAGGCGGAAGCCGCTGGGGTGGCACCAGGGAGTGGCAGTGGCTTCGGCCACCAGCAGTTCAGCTTTTGTGTTCATTTATTCGGCTCCCTAAATGCTTTTTCTTAGTCAGCAAATACTTCGAAAAGTTTGGGGGGTGGGAGTAGAGGTGGAATTGAAAGATACATTTATTTTTTGTTGCAAAATGTTGCCATTTTGTGTCTAGTTTTTTTTTTCATCCTCCGCATTTTTTCATGAAGTTTTGGAAGGCCCCATTGTATACAAGTTGTGTACACTCACCTTCAAGATTCTTTTCACACCAACGGAAGCTTCTCTTTTAATTCCATTTTGCAGGAGCTTTTTGAAATACCTTGGTGTCACACAAAGACGCTCCACTGTGTTCTGGGTGGGGTGGGGGACAGGGTGGTGACCCCAAAACACCCAGGCCCACCCGCAGGGTGACCACAGATCTACGTACTAAGCAGACATGTCATAGGATGTGGGATGGCAAGTGCTGAGGTCTGAAACTAGAGACAAGCCCAAGGTGCCCTGCACCCTAGATTGAATTGGGGGGCGGCTCCTGGCTGGGCTTGTGCCTCTGCAGTCATCGGGCCATGGGTCCTGTGGCGAGCGGCTCTCGCGTAGTGCCTCACTTTGTCTTCCTCCTGGATGGCATCAAATGTTAGGTGGTGTTTGCAGAATAATAAAGTTTATCATCAGAGAACTTAACAGCAGTTCCTGATAAGGAGCCAGCGGTACACGTCGCTTGAAAGTTGCCGATTGGCAGCCCTGTGGCCCTGCTGACATGTGATGTTTGTCCAGTCACAGGGTGTTCTGTTTGCTCGGCCTCCGCCTTCTCACCGCTTCTCCAAGAGCAGGAGTTGCCGTTGCCGCCGCGGCTCGCGGTCTCTGCTCACGCAGCCGGCGCAGCAGTGCTAACCGCCTCCTGTGTAGGCTGCTGGAAACAGACACAGTGGCAACCAAGACATCCCAAAGTTCACAATCCGGGAAAGTGACTATGGCAACAGGGCAAGTTTAGAGAGAGTAGGGTGTGACTGCTTAGACAGTGAGCCGGTGCCTGGCCAGTAGGCAGACATGTGGCCCGAGGCCTTGACCTGGAATGAGGTTGGAAAGTATAAGGCACTGCAGGAGCCTGAGACCTCTGGAATGGAGTAGGAAGAACGTGACAACAGGGAGGACCCAGTCGCTGAGACCTTGGGGGCCATGCTCAAGACTCTGGGCTTTTAGCTGGGGCAGGGTTCAGTCTTGGGCAGAGCTCTGACCCTGGAGGAAGGACCCAGACCTGACTCAGGTGTTCCGCAGGCTCCCATTGGTGGGGAGGAGGTGGGAAGGCCTGGAAGCCGGGGCAGGAAGAAGCCAGGCGTAATGCGAGTATGGGAAACAGATCTCGGAGCTGTTGGGTTTCGGTTAGAAATGAGACATGAAGGAAAGAAACACAGGAAGAGAGGCTTTACGGTTTGTTTTCCCCTGAGACAGCTGAACAGGGGCGGGGGGAGGAGTCTGTTCCATCAGTAGTGAAGGCCTGAGTGATGGGTTGAGTTCTGAAGCCTGGCAGGTGCTTCGCAGCCTTGCGGTGTAGCTGGCCCTGTTGAGAGTACTTCCTGTTATGAAAACAACCAGCCGAGGCTGTGTGTCTGTCATCCCTAGATTATACATGAAGTGACCAGGGCACCTGCTGTGAGCTGCCCTGCTCGGAAGTGGAGTGGGGTGACTGGAGCTGGGGGGTGGGTGAGCAGGTGTTGGCTGAGACAGCTCCGTGTGTGGGTGGGTAGATCAGAATCAGTAGGCTGCTGGATGGGCCAGCGGATGTGGTCCTGACCCAGACGCCAGCAAGTGTTTTCCATAGCACCCCGTTTTCTCTCCCTGCCCCCAGCACCACCCCACATTCTGGCCGGAGCACACCCAGCAGCTCCCCATCTCTGCGGAAGCGGCTGCAGCTTCTGCCTCCAAGCCGGCCCCCTCCTGAGGCAGAGGCAGGCAGCATGGTGGAGAAGGGGTCAGAAAGCTCCTCAGAGAAGGGGGCAGTGCCCGGGACCCCCAGCACGCAAAGCCTAGGCAGCCGGAACTTCATTCGCAACAGCAAGGTGAGTGCCAGCCCGGTTGGGGGGCTGGGGGGCTGGGCAGGGCCATGAGGGCACTCATCCTGACCCTTATCCCTTCTCTTGCAGAAGATGCAGAGCTGGTACAGCGTAAGTGTGGGCAGAGGGGGTGAGTGGGAGGCAGGGGATGGGTGCCAAGACGAACAGACCCAGGGTCACAGCTTGTGTGCCTGACAGGTGCTATGTGAGCCTGGGGGAGTCGCTTAACCTTTGCAGGCCATCCCCACCTTCTCCACCTAGCCTGGCTTCATAAATGACATAGCAGTGCCCCCGGCACCAGGTTGAGGGATGGGGGTGGCTTGGGGACGAAGATAGGAAGTGGCCACCATCGTCATGGTGACCAAAGCCAGCAGTGGGATAAACACTGGGTCCCCAAGAGCCCCCATAGGCTAAGGAGACAGTGGGAGGTGGGGCACAGGGCTTAGCAAGGGCAGAGCTGGCAGCGTGCCTGCCCCCCACACTGCCTGCAGATGCTGAGCCCCACGTACAAGCAGCGCAACGAGGACTTCCGGAAGCTGTTCAGCAAACTGCCGGAGGCCGAGCGGCTCATTGTGGGTGAGGCCAGTGCCCCAGGCCCACCCTTCACCCCTGCCCTCACCCCCACGCTGTAGTTCCACAAGCGGTCACTGACTCCAGTGGGCCTCGTCTTTCCCCTCGGCTGTTCTCAGATTACTCCTGCGCCCTGCAGCGTGAGATCCTCCTCCAAGGCCGCCTCTATCTCTCCGAGAACTGGATCTGCTTCTACAGCAACATCTTCCGCTGGGAGACCACGGTGCGGCCCCGGGCACGGGGAGGTGCGGTGGGGGGGTGGGACTCTGGCCCCTCTGACCTGCCACCTTGCGCCCCACAGATCTCCATCCAGCTGAAAGAAGTGACATGTCTGAAGAAGGAGAAGACAGCCAAGCTGATCCCCAATGCCATCCAGATCTGCACAGAGAATGAGAAAGTGAGCTGGGAGGAGCCCCACCTTCCCCTCCAGAACCCCCATGCTCCTTCCAGTGTGGTGCAGCCATGCCCCACTTGAGACTGCATGTGCCAGGCCCTGGTCTGGCAGTGCTGCAGGGCAGCTGGAATCAGGGCCTGGATACCTCCACTCCTCACAAGCCCCTTACCCCCTGCTTCTGCTTACTGCTCGCAGGATGACGTAAGACACCAGTGGCCACGCAAGAACGGGAAGGGCAGAGGGACAGGGGTGGGGGAGGACTGCCCAGCCCAAAGCTTTTGGTGTGGTGTTGGTCTTGGGTAGGTCCACATGTCACTGCCAGGGACTAGGGCGGCCTGGCAAGGGGCCCTGCCCATCAAGGGCCAGCCCTAGCCCAGAGGCTGGCGCTGAGGAAGGCCACGGCCACCGTCTTATCCAGGTGACACCAGCCTGTGCATTGGCCTGGCATGGGGGCAGCGTTGTGTGCAGTGTATGCTGGGAGGAGTGAGGGCAGGTTTCAGGAAAGGGGTTGCCACCAGCCTGTGCATTGGCCTGGCATGGGGGCAGCATTGTGTGCAGTGTATGCTGGGAGGAGTGAGGGCAGGTTTCAGGAAAGGGGTTGCTGCAGACAGAATGCCTCCCACCACATGCCCCGTTCTCCCCTTGCAGCATTTCTTCACCTCCTTTGGGGCCCGTGACCGCTGCTTCCTCCTCATCTTCCGTCTCTGGCAGAACGCGCTCCTGGAAAAAGTAGGTTTGAGGACTACCTGGGCTGGAACACCCACAGGCTCCAGGCTGGGTTCACCTGCAGCTTCCTCCATGGCCACCACCAGGGGGCAGCCACGAGCGGCTGTGCCTGACCCCTGAACAGGGGCTGTACTAAAGAAAGAATTGGTGTGAACCACTCGGGGTTCAATGCTGAGGCTGGGGCAAGGGCTCCCTGCCCACAGGTGAAGATGAGGAGGATGGACAGGTGCTGGGATGTCTTTGTACATGTCTGCCAGTTCCTGCAGCTGTGCCGTGTGGCCCTGGGCCCTGTCCTGGTGGGGTGGTGGGGTTGTTCTTGTCTCTAGGGACAGGGCTGCAGTTGTGGCCACCCCGGGGGACAGGATGCTAGAGGATCCCATTCAGAAGCCTGAGGGAGGTGGGGCAGTCGCCAAGGAGGGTGAAGAAGAGGCACTGCAGTCCCATCCCTGGGGCAGGCCACTGAACCCCACTGGTCCAGCAGGTTCGCAGGACCCAGAGGAACTGCTCGGGAATGCCGGCTCTTAAGGAGGCTGGAGAGCCCAGGAGTTAGCTCCCAGGCTGCCATGTACTGGAGCAGCACCTCCGGAATCACATCACAGGGTTGCCACTGCCTGGTTGTACGACCGCAGGCATCTCGCCGTGTGCGTGTCGGCAGTGTGGTCTGGAGCGAAGGTGCTGATGGCACCTGCTGCCCAGCATTGCTGAGGAGTCGATGAGTGCACGAAGGTGAGGGGGCCGAAAGAACGCCAGCTGCTGCTGTCACCATCACTCTTAGGTCAGCATCCCTGCCCAGCTGCCCTGGCCAGGGCTCGCTGAAGGCCAGGGCTCAGCAGGACTGCACAGGAGGCATGAGGGCGTCGGCTCATCAGGCTGGAATCCCAGACTGCATTGTGGTCACTCACATGAACTCAGGCACGAACCTCCACATTCTCCGCTGTACCCACGGGACCCATAACGGGCCGGAGTGATAAGGATAGTGGGGAGGTCTGAGGCCCCAGGCGCCACCCTCTCCAGGGTCGGTCCAAGCAGGTGGCTTCCTAGGGAGCCCGGCTGGTGCTAGAAGTCGTGCTCCCCCTGGTGGTAGCCAGGGGAACTGCTGACCTGACAGGGAGGGCTCTGGACAAGAACTGACCCTAAGCTCGTACCTCGTCAGACCCTGAGTCCCCGGGAGCTCTGGCACCTGGTGCATCAGTGCTACGGCTCGGAGCTGGGCCTCACCAGCGAGGATGAGGACTATGTCTGCCCCTTGCAGCTGAATGGTCTCGGGTGAGCCATGGCAGGGGGTGTGTCAAGTGGACCAAGGAGGGTGTCTGGAAGACCCAGGAAGGGATGTGGGGTCACAGGGGCTCAGCAGTCCCTCCACTTCCCTTCTGCAGAAGCCCCAAAGAGGTGGGAGATGTGATCGCCTTGAGCGACATTGCCCCGCCGACCGCAGGGGCCCCTGACCGCAGCCAGGAGCCAAGCCCCGTGGGCTCACGCCGTGGCCGCCTCACCCCCAATCTCTCCCGCGCCAGCAGCGACGCAGACCATGTGGTGAGCGGGAGGGTGCCGGGCGTGGGGTGGAAGAGAGGGTCACACAGGAGAAGGGAAGGGGAGGGGACGAGGGACAGGTCAGAAGTGGGCAGGTGGGGAAAGAGACTGAGCCAAAGGGGGAGGGAGCAGAAGGCGCAGCAGGCGGGAGCTTGATGCACACGACAGATGGGCAGGCAGGAAAGCTTAGCGCCCGGACGGAGGTGGGCAAGGCTGGATGAGGCCTCTCTGTGCAGGCGGAGGAGGACAAGGAGGAGCAGACCGACAGCCAGCCCGACGCGTCCTCCAGCCAGACGGCCACCCCGGTGGTGGAGCCCCCGAGCACAGAGCCCAGCCCGCCTGCCGGGCCCACCTCCCTGGGCCCCTTGGACCTGCTGCCCAGTGAGGAGCTGCTGACGGACACCAGCAACTCCTCTTCATCCACCGGGGAGGAGGGTAAGGCTGCTGCCCCTGCTGATCCTGGCTCACGGGACTGAAATCATGGGCACTGGGCAGGGGTGCTGTTCAAACTGCTGGTTAGACGTCTGTGCCAGCCTCTGCTCGCTGTGCCCCCGGCAGGGTGGATAAGACACAGACGTGGAAGGCAGAGGGCTGGGGTTCCAGGCTTGGCCATGCCACTGTGAGAAAGTCATGTCACCTCTCTGGTCCTTATTTTAGTCATTTGAAAAATGGAGTTGCCATCCTACTAATGACACCTGTGTCGTGGGGTTGCTACCTTGCTGCGTACAAGATGCTTAGGCCAGTTACAAAGTGTCAGCTGGGGTTTCTTCCTATTATTGTTGTTAGTGTAAGAATTCCTCTTGTGTGTGCCCACTGATTCTCAGGTGGCCTGTGCACCTATTGGGGCACAGATGGCCCTGGCCTGGCTTGACAAGCCTAGCAGAGAGAGAGAGAAAGTTCCCCGGGTGCTTTTCCCAGTGGCAAACACCCTGGGGTTGACTCTGATTGGCTCAGAAATGGGCACATTCTCCAAGTTGAACCAATCAGTGCCTGAACACTGCTGGCCCTAATTCATCACCTTGATCCTGATTGGCTGGGCCTGGGGGCAGGGTGTGCCCAGCCCAGGGGTGCAGTCCTAGGCAAGGGCTGGGGAGGGGGGCTGGTGTGGGGAGCATGAGCCCACCCTAAGCTTATCCCTCCGGGAAGGAGCTGGGTCTGTCAGTCCGCCCCACAACATTGCAGGCCCTTGTCTGTCTCGCAGCTGACCTGGCTGCCCTGCTGCCTGACCTCTCCGGCCGGCTCCTCATCAACTCCGTGTTTCACGTGGGCGCCGAGCGGCTGCAGCAGATGCTGTTCTCGGACTCGCCCTTCCTCCAGGGCTTCCTGCAGCAGTGCAAGTTCACAGGTTAGGAGGTGGGGCTGGGAGACCCTCATGTGGTAGAAGGGGGTATGGTAATGGTCCCCGTGTTACAGGGACTGCCTAAGAACCCCCTGGCTATTACCAGAGCAGTGCCTAGAATGGCATGGACACAAAGTGCTCAACAAGGGCTTACAGGGCTGGGAGAGGCCGGGGGAGTGGGTAGGTCTCTATGACATGTGTCAGGGAAGGATGCTGGGAGGAGAGGAAATCCAAACGGGCCCCGCAGGAAGAGGAGCTTCCGGGAGAGGGTGTGGAGAGGAGCCCCCAGAGGCTGAACCAGAGAGGCCCTTGCTATGGGGCACTGGGGGTGGGGGGAAGGCAGCAGAAGAGCCGATGGGTCGATGTGTGTTGTTGGAAAGACCCTCTCCGAGGCCCCCAGGAGACTGGTAATGGCTGGTGCAGGAGTCTTGCCCGCCAATCTGAGGAAGGCTGACTGTCTCTGGGGCACTGGGAAGCCATGGACTATTCTAGGCAGATAAGGCACAGGCTATCCCAGGACCGGATATGGAAAGCAACACCAGGCAGCCCGGAAGGGACCCTGGGCTGGCCAGGCTGGGCTAAAGCAGGGGCAGTACTTAGAACTGCTAGCAGGCAGGGGCAGGGGACACAGGACCCAGGACACTGAGTATATCTGAGGGGAGATGGTGAAGCCTGTGTGTGGGCATGGGGTGCCAGGGATCCAAGGACTTTCATGGAATATGTTGGAAGGTTGTAGGTCCATGGGTCAGATTCTCATGGGAGGAGCCAGGGCTGGTCCCAATGGGAGTGGGAGGGAGTTGAAGCCACAGGAGTGACTGAGCCCACTCCTGGCTGGCAGGTGGGGCTGCGAGGAGAGGGGTAGGGAGGGGTTAGGGACACAGCCCAGAGAATGAGAACTTGCAGCCCTGGGGCATGGCCACCTTATCCTGCTCTTGCCCCCCCACCCCCAGATGTGACTCTGAGTCCATGGAGCGGGGACAGCAAGTGCCACCAGCGCCGAGTGCTGACGTACACCATCCCTATCAGCAACCCGCTGGGCCCCAAGAGCGCCTCCGTGGTGGAGACACAGGTAGGCCAGGCGCAGGGTGACCTAGGCAGGTAGGACGTTTGGTGGCCCAGGCAGCAGGAGGCCCTGACTCCCCAACCCCCGCGCCCTTGCTCCACAGACGCTGTTCCGGCGCGGCCCACAGGCAGGCGGCTGTGTGGTGGACTCGGAGGTGCTGACCCACGGCATCCCCTACCAGGACTACTTCCACACTGCCCACCGCTACTGCATCCTGGGGCTGGCCCGGAACAAGGCCCGGCTCCGGTGAGTGGGGCTAGCCACGGTGCACGGGCTCCAGCTTGGCAGGGCGGCGTCCCTTGCTTATCACAGGGGAGAGGGCTGGAGAGCGCGAGGGCCCCCTGGTGCAAGGGAACCTCTCTGTTCATCAGCAGCTAGGCATCTTCCATGTGCCTGGCGCTGGGGTGGGCTCCCCGGGCCAGCGTGGGGGCTGGGGCCAGAGCGGAGGAATCTCCCTGGGGAGCTCGTGGTCTGCTCGGGGAACTGAATAATGGAAGAGCAGTGGATACAGACCTGCCCGGCGTGCCCTGGAGGTGCGGTGGGGGTGCATGCTAAATATAGGACTCAGGGCAGGGGCTTCTGAGAAGAAAAAAGTTCTGTCAGAACCTAAACAGGGAGGGTAGCTTTGGGGTGTGCCTAGACTGCCCAGAGTGGCTGGGGCAGTGAAGGTGAGGGTGAGGTTACTGGGAAGCTGCAGGCCGTGTCTGACTGTGCGAGGTGCAGCCGAAGCTGAGCTGCCAGCCCAGGGGCTTTGATCTGACTCAGGAGCCCCTGGACTCCCTCTGGCTGCAGCCTGTGGGGACAGGGATGAGAGCAGGCCAAGGGAGGCAGTTGAGGATGAGAGGGCTCTCCGGACAGCCATGGGGTATCTGGCCTGGAAGCCTGGAAGGCCAGAGAGCTCGTCAGACCCCACCCCATCATGTAGCAGCCAGGTTGGGGGAAGTGGGGAGGGCAGGCGGTCAAGCAGGCAGAACCAGACAAGGGGCGGAGGGGAACCTGAGCCCCTCACCTTGGAGTGCATCCAGGGAAGCCAGGGGCATCTGAACACATTGGTTTTGTGGGTAAGGGACAGAGGGCCCACCCTGTGGTGGGACGTTGGAGGCTGAGACACACCCCAGCCCCACCCTTGTCCACCCACCCAGCGTGTCCTCCGAGATCCGCTACCGGAAGCAGCCGTGGAGCCTTGTGAAGTCTCTCATTGAGAAGAACTCGTGGAGTGGCATTGAGGATTATTTCCACCACCTGGGTAAGGGGGTCAGCGGCCTGCTGCACACATGCACGGAGAGGGAGGCACAGGTCCAGCCCTGGTGAGGACCCACCCTCCCTGCCCACCACAAGCCTCTTGTCCATCCCCACAGAGCGAGAGCTCTCCAAAGCAGAGAAGCTTTCCCTGGAGGAGGGCGGCAAGGAGGCCCGGGGGCTGCTGCCAGGCCTGCGGAGGCGAAAGCGACCCCTGAGCTGGAGAGGTCACAGCGATGGGCCCCAGCACCCGGAACCCGAGCCTGGGGCGCGGGCTGGCCTGCACCCCTCAGGTGAGCATGCATGCAGCTGGCTGGTGGCGCCTGGGTGGATGGGATCCCCAGGCTGGAGCGTCTGACCCAGGCTGCTGTTTTGCAGGCTCCCTTAGCTCCCGTTTCTCTGAACCGACCGTGGACCAAGGCCCCGGGGCAGGCATCCCCAGCGCCCTGGTGCTCATCAGTGCCGTGTGAGTGAGGCCAGGACTCCGTGCTGTGCCTAAACTGGGTTCTGTTGGGGACGGGCTGGGACCAGCAGTCCTGGGGCAGGGCGATGGGGCCAGGATTGGGCAGGCTCAGGCAAAGGGGCAGGCAGGGTGGTGGGGCTGTGGGAGGCCAATGAGACTCTCTGTTTGGTCTGACAAGTGGGCAGTGAGGAGCCCTGGCAAGGGCTGTGATGAGAAGCAATGGGGGACCAGGACTGCAGGTGTGCCAGGGTAGGCATGAGGGGGATACCCTGAGGAACCGGAAGTGAGGCCAGAGCTGACCCTGACAAGTGAAGGTCATCTGGGGAACCAGGGCCTCTGGCCTGCTCAGCTCCACACTGCCAGCCAAGGGTGGGGGCGAGGGGGCAAGGTGGGGGCGGCCAGTGCATTCTGGCTCTCACCTCTCTGTCTCCTCCTGGCTGCCTCGCAGGATCTGTGTGAGGTAGGGTCCCCCATCTATGCCTGTGCCCCTTCCCTGATCTGGGCCCCTGGTTGCAACAGCTCCCCCACCTAACTCCCCCAGGGAGGTGACCTGGGGCCTGAGCCACCAAGAAGACCTGGGGCTGTGTGACCGTGTGCAAGTCTCTTTCCTCCCCCTGGAAAGGGGGTGACCGTGGTGCCCTTCCAGGCATCATATGTATGTGCTGGGGAAAGAGGAGATAACAGAACTCTGCATCTGGGTCCCTGGACACTGACCTCTGACCCCTCCCCAGCCTCATCGTCCTCATTGCCCTCAACGCCCTCCTCTTTTACCGCCTGTGGTCTCTGGAGAGGACGGCCCACACCTTTGAGTCCTGGCACAGCCTGGCCCTGGCCAAAGGGTGAGTGGTGTGTCCGGGGTGCTGGGTCCTCTCCCTGACACACCAGAGGCAGACCTCAGGAGGCTAGGGCTCCCAGCTCAGGCCCGTGTCCTCATCCCTGTCCGCGCAGGAAGTTCCCCCAGACAGCCACGGAGTGGGCGGAGATCCTGGCCCTGCAGAAGCAGTTCCATAGCGTGGAGGTACACAAGTGGAGGCAGATCCTAAGAGCATCTGTGGAGCTCCTGGACGAGGTAGGGGCGGTGTGGGCTGGAGACCCTGCAAAGCGACCGGGGGGGGGGGGGGACAGGTTAATGGGCTGGAAGCAACTGGTGTTTTGGAGAGAAGCCCAGGGGTCTCCCTTGAACCCCTGCCCTTGACCCTGCTCATCCTGGATGGACAGCCTAGCTCCCAAGGCAGGGGTTGCAGCTCCAAAGCACTCGCCCTTGTCGATTACTGGGGTCACCTGCTCTCTCCCTGTGCTCCCTAACCCCTCCTCACAGTGGCCTGGGGGAGGCTGGCTCCTCTCCCCTCCCGCCCCCCACCTTCAGGGTGACAGAGGACACCACCTGGTCAGAGTGAGAGAGGGATTCTCTGGTTGATCCAGGCACGCCCTGTTCAGACCTGTTCAAATCCTGGTGTGTGACCTGATGCGGGCAACCTTGACCATGTGGCCACAGGCCACCTGCTCTGTACATGGGGCAGCGATGCATGTTCCATCACCTGACAACCATTGAGAGATCCCAACAGCTCTTTGCCCGCCCCAGGACTCACCTGCACTTGCCCTAGCCTGGGCTCCGGGTGTGTGTCCAGGCTCGAGGTTGATCCTATGGAATAGGTTCCTGGGCCTGATACAGAGGACACCTCCCTGGGGGCCAAGGCCACCCAGACTGTGACTCCAGGCTCCCTGCCTCCTGGGCCTGCTCAGAGCCCCTTCCGGGGTGCGATGTGGCTGACCTTGGGTGAGGCCAGGGCTGTCCACTGGGGGAAAGAGGGGTGGCGGGAAGGAGTACACCGCCCCCACTGTCCCCTCCTCCCTGCAGATGAAGTTCTCTCTGGAGAAGCTGCATCAGGGCATCGCAGGCTCGGACCCTCCCTTCGACACCCAGCCGCAGCCTGACGACAGCTTCTCCTGAGGACTGGGGGGGCCCCGTGGCCATCCTGGATGGACACACACAGCCCTGGCGGCCACTGCTGGCACAGTGTGAGCGCCGGAAACCTCCCAGTGGCCCGGCCAGGGCTCACGCCGCCACCGCCGCCACCGCCACCAACCTCGTGGGGACTACAGAACCAAGATGCACTTTAGACTGGCATGTGCAAGTCCAGCCTGCCACTGCCTGCCCGGCTGTGGGAGGTCCCCCCACTAACTTATTTTGCCTGGCTGGGGTTGTAGGGAAGGTGCGTCCTGGGGTGCACGACTCCTTCAGCTCTGGCTTTAATGTATTGTATTTATTGGGGGCTGACAGAGCCCCAATAAAGGGTTGGAAATAGCTGTGGCAGTGCCTGTGGGTCCCTCGCACACAGATCCTGCAGGAGTGGGGAGGGGCTCTGAAGGCTCCACCTGGCCTCCTCAAGGATCCAAAGAAGTACTTCCAGGGCAGGCCACGTGGGCTGTGGCCCAGTCCTGCCTCTCAGCAGTCCTACCGTCATCTGGACCAGGTTGGTCCTCACATCTCCAGCAATGAGTGTCACCCCAGCACCTGTCGCCCAGGGTGGTGGGGAGTGCATGGTGTGGCCGATGGCCTCAGCAGCTCCCAGAGACTCGATGCCAAAGCCACCTACTAGACTCCACCCTTGGAGGTGAGGAGCTGGCAGGTGTGGGGGAGGCCTGGGACTCTGCATTTCTAACCAGGTCCTCAGGGGTACTAACTGTGCTCACTCGGGGACTACGCTGAGAGGCAAGGTTCTTGCCACTCTCCAGAAACACACACTGGCCCATGCAAGCACTGAGTTACAAGACAAACACGGTCCAGGATTGGGGCCGGAAAGAGGGGCCTGGAATAGGAACTGGCAGAGGGCAGAGGAGGCTGGCTTCTGCCTATGTGATCCCAGATAGCTGCCCACACTCTGGGCCTCAGTCTCCCAGCCTGTAAAATAGATATCATGGTGGCACCTGCCATGTGGGAGGAACTGAGTTATTTTCTTAAAGGTTTATTTATTTTTAATTGGAAAGGCAAGTCTGCAGAGAGACAGAAAGATGTACTAGTCCACTCTGTAAATTGCTGGGTTGGCTGGAGCCAATCTGGAGCCAGGAGTTTCTTTTGGGTCTCCCATGTGGGTACAGGGGCCCAAGGACTGGGGCCATCTTCCACTGCCTTCCTAGGTCATAAGCAGGGAGCTGGATTGGAAGTGGAACAGCTAGGACACAACCAGTGTCCATGTGGGATGCTGGCACCGAAGGCAGAGGATTAGCCTACTATGCCACAGAGCCGACTCCATGAGTGAGTTATCACTCGAGCTCATAGTAGGCCATCCATCCATGAGACTGGCAGGCTGTCAGTAGGTCTGCTGCCAAGGCTTGTCCTCGGTGTGCCCCTGTCCCCCACCCCCCACAGGAGGAAGGGCCCGGAAGCCAGGAGAGAGTTATTTTCTGCAGGGGAATTCACAGCTTAGGAGGTGCTGGCGTAGGAGCCCAGCCACAAAGGTGTCCGGTTCCCTGGCTCCCCGCCCCTCGGCCTTGGGCCCAGCCCTTGCCCTGGTTCCCCTTGCCCCATGGCCAGGGGTATTCTGGGACTTGACCCCACCCAGAACTGGAAACTAGGATGGCACTGGCGGCCGCCCAGAACACCCCCCAGCCCATTTATTCCCCACTTTGGCTGGAATCTTCCGGTAAGATAGACCACCTGCCCTTGCTGCAGCAGGGCCCTGACCACCTGCCCCTGGGGGAAGCAGTGGCCCCGTCCTCACCTTAGTTTCTGCATCGATGCAATGGTGAAGTTAAAAGTGGGCTCAGGGAAGCTGAGTAGGCACTAGCACAGATTGATGGGTGCACAGGGCAAATCAGTTCTCAAGGTGCTGGGGTTGTGGGTGGGCACAGGACAGTGCCCTCAGCCTGGGCAACTGTTCAAAGGAGGGGCACTCACTCTTAAAATATAGGATTCGGGATGCTTTCACTGTAGAGAAAATAGTAAATGCTTGAAAGGATAAATATATTCCCATTGGCCATCACACAATGTATGCATGGATCAAATATCACACAGTAGCCCATACATATGTATGCTTTTAAAATGTTTATTCATGTTTTTAAAAAATAAGGAAAAATTAAGTGATGATAACGAGCGGGGAGGGGGCACAGAGTGAAGCAGGTCCAGCAAGAAGGGAGGGCAGTTTGCCCTGAACCCACAGGAAGCTGTGCAGAAGGTGACATCGGAGGAGCAGCCGCAGGAGGGGGCGCCGGGGTACTTGGTCGCACGGAGGGTTAGGGGGGTCCCTGCAGGCAGGGGGAAGGGCAAGGGTGAGGCCCTGAGGTCTGAGTGCGCTCCGGGTGCTGGACATAGCGAGATCTAGCCAGCCCCGCCGGGAGAGGGAGCAGATGGGGGTAACAAGATGATGTCACGGGCAACGGGGGGTCACCGCAAACAGCCCTCCTGGAACTTGGCATCTGCAACATCTCCCCACCTGGCCCTCAAAGCAGATTATCTAGATTGGACTCCTGGGCGCCCTCCTGCTTCGGTGAGGGTCTGGACGCGAGGGTGCCTGCCGGGTGACCTCCGGTCGCCGGCGTCAGGGATCCGAGGGAGCGATCCTTTGGAGATGCCAGGCGCGTCCCCCACGAACTCTGACCTCCATTTGAAGTCGCCATCCCGGCGCCCCAAACCGCCTTTCCAAGTCCTTCTGTGACTCTGGCTTGATCGATCTCCGACTCCGAAGCTGGGACGCAGTCTCCGAAGTCTGGAAGAAGGGCAGGGGCACCCAGAAACGACGATGCCTGCGCCACCCGGCGAGCCGGCGCGCAGCGGGCGCCTCCCGGGCCGCTGCGGCAAAGGCTGGGCGGCCGCGCCCTCCCCCCGCGGTGATTCATCCCGCCCCCTCCCTGTCCTCCCCGCCCCCTCCCTGGGCCGCCACCGCCGCCGCTGCAGTGCGCAGGAGACCGCGGTCCGCGCCCGGGCGCGCCCGAGCCGGAGCCGGGCCGGGGTCGGCGCACTTGGCGGATGCGTCCGGCGGTGAGCGCCAGTGCAGGAGTCCGAGCAGCGGCCGCCGCCAGCGCGGCGGGGATGCCCGGACGCCGGGCCCCGGGGCTGGGCCCCCGGCGGTAACCGGAGCGGGGGGGCCGCGCCCCCCCTCCCCCCGCTCGCCGGTCCCAGAGCCGCAGCTGCTGCGCCCGCGCGCTCCCGGGGACATTCTACCCGCCGCGCGGGTCCCGCCGCCTCTCGCCCCGCTGTCAGGACCGGCGGCCGGGAGCGGGGCGCAGCGCAACCATGGGGACGCTGCTGGCCTTGGTGGTCAGCGCCACACTGGGTGAGTGCGCTGCTGGGGGCACCGGCTTCGGGCACTGACCCAGAGCGGCGGGATTCGCGCTCGGGACTCCGGGCAGCCACGCCAGGGCCGCCCCAACCCCTAACCCCTCCGACCCCATCGCCTGCCCAGCCAAGTCAGCTTCCGAAGTTGTGTGCCCGGGAGGCGGTGGAGGTGCGGGGGGCCTAGGACGCGCAAGCAGGGGGCCGAGCTGCGGGCACCCGGCCGGGGGCGAGGAAACGCGGAGTCAGCTGCTCCCGGAGCCCCGCAGGCTGCAACGTGACACCCACAGCCGCGGGAGGGGGAGGTGGGGACCGGGAGGCGGCGCCCAGAGACTGGGACCAGCGAGATGGGGACGCAGAGAGGAGATGGAGACGCAGAAGGACTCGGAGTGAGCTGCTTAGAAACTGAGGACGGAACGTGACAGACCCATGGAGAGGGGTCGGGGAGCGCTGAGTCTGAATCTTCTGAAACTTGCAGGAGGCAAAGGGGGGGCTGTGATGCAGAGCCAGGTACAGCCAGAGAGGAGCTGGGGTGGTGTTCTAAAGTGAGGAGGCATGGCTCCGTGGAGACAGACCCAAAGCCCTAGCACCCAAAGAGAGACCTCCCGAAGAAGACAGGTGGGAGAAGCTGGGGTTCACGGCAGGGAGACTGCAGGAGGCAGCTGGAACCAGATGGTTAAGAAAGAAACTCCGAAACATGAAGAGAGAAAAAAAAAAAAAAAAAAAAAAGCCAGGAGACTGGGAGTTTGCTGGGTCCTGGGAAGCAGAGAAGAGGGAGTGAAAGGCAGACTCTAGACAGAGTCTAGTCGTGGTGCCAAGGACCTGGGGCAGCAAGGAACCCCATGAGCCCTGAACAGTGGGGAGCAAGTCACAGAGCAGGGAGAGGGCAGAGGCAGGAGGGGCTGGGAAGGGGTGGGCTACACAGGGGCTTTCCAAGCTGGGGTCTGCCCTGATTGCAGTACCCATGTCCTACCCGTGGCTCAACTCACTCCTCTCAACTCACTCCTGGCTGACCTGTTTAATGGGTAGAGTGATTCCGCTGCCTAGAAGTTCTACTGCCTGGTAGCTTCGGTGCCTCGGGCTGGTGACTTCCTGAGAAAGGATGCCTGCGGCGTAGGCATTCACAGGGACTGATGCTCACAGCCCCGCTGGCTGGCTGGGGCATCACCCATCCCAGGGATCTACCCAGCACCTGCCAATCAGATGACCCTTATGTACCCTGACAGAGAGTGGGAAGCTGAGGAGGCTCGGAGAAGATGCCACCTGGAGCAGGCACCGTCTTCTGTTTCCTCAGCGGTCTTAGTGAGGGGAGTAGGTGCTTTCTGGGTTAGGGGAAAGTGGAGCCCAGCCATCCTGGCCCTGCTTGGGGAACTGGGAGTCCTGGTGTGACCTGAACCTACTGTCACCGCAGTGTCCTCAGCCTGGGGGGGCTGCGTGGAGGTGGACTCGGAGACCGAGGCTGTGTATGGGATGACCTTCAAAATCCTGTGCATCTCCTGCAAGCGCCGCAGTGAGACCACGGCCGAGACCTTCACGGAATGGACCTTCCGACAGAAGGGCACTGAGGAGTTTGTCAAGGTGTGTGGCTGCCCTGCCAGGTGTCCAGGTGGGGGTCCATGCCGAGGGGGGGCGGGAGCTAGATCTCCTGGATGCAAATTCCAGCTCCCCACCTCGGAGCAGCTGGTGGCCTGGGCAAGTCCTTGAGCCCCCCTGGGGCTGGATTTCCTTCTCTGTGGAGGCAGGGGGCTCCAGCTTGTGAGGGGCTTAGGTGAGCTGATGCCCCTGCCACGTGGTTGGCATGAAGTCAAGGTCACTGGCGCTCTGGCACAATCAGAATGTTTCTGTCAGCATGGAGGAGACATAGAAGTCTTTTTTTGATCCCTTGGCATGCTGTGTGTGTGTTGTGGATTGTGGATTATGCACCAGAAACTTCTACCACCTGTGCTGGGTTTAGGGTCAGGCTGCCCATGAGCCTGTTTCAGGAGTGTGGCTGGTGACTGAAAGGATGGCAGAACACGAGGGCTTGGAAGATGAGGGAGGGCTCAGGAGGGAGCCTGACAGTGTGTGTGGAGAGAGGGGGGCCGGAGGCAAAGCTGAGGGCTCAGAAGATGGGCCCAGCCATTTTCCCCATGCCTCTTTGTTTGAGGTCAAGGTCTCTGATTACATATGTGTCTGTCTGTGTTAGGGAGGGGTGGGAGGGAGACAGTCCCAGATCATGACCCTGCATGCCGGGCACCCCCAGATCCTGCGTTATGAGAACGAGGTGCTGCAGCTGGAGGAGGATGAGCGCTTCGAGGGCCGTGTGGTGTGGAACGGCAGCCGCGGCACTAAGGACCTGCAAGACCTGTCCATCTTCATCACCAATGTCACCTACAACCACTCGGGCGACTACGAGTGCCACGTCTACCGCCTCCTCTTCTTCGATAACTACGAGCACAACACCAGCGTCGTCAAAAAGATCCACCTGGAGGTGGTGGACAAAGGTGAGGGAGCCCCGCCCGCCCCACGCCCCCCGCGGGCTCCCCAGCCAGCCAGATGGAGGGACAGATGGCAGGGAGGGCCAGCCAACCGCCCACGGGGGTAGGGGGAGCACTGCGCCGCCAGCACCCAGCTCTGGCCTCCACTTCTTCCCTCAGCCCTGCAGCAAGGTCAGTGTGCCCCCAAAGACTTCTGAGTGCCAAACCCAGCAGTGTCACCTAGGAGGGAGGCAGCTGTGCTGTGAGAGTCCTGGCAGGTGCCTCCAGGCTAAACCAGTAGGGTTACAAGGAAGGAGGAGGCAGGGCTAGAGATGAAGGCTGTGGGGATGGAGCCCAGGGTGGGGTCCCCTCCCAGCAGGGCCGGGTCTGAGGAGGGTGGCGTGTTGCAGCCTTGGCCTCCATCTGTCGTGGTGCATGTGTCACGCATAGTGGGGCCTCTCGCCTCCCTCCCATCCTGGGAACCCTCCCCACCCAGGAGAATCCTGCAGAACACAGTCTTACCAAGTGGAGATGCAGGCCCAGGAGCCAGCAGGCTGTCAGGTGAGGCTAGCGCTGCAATTATGGGGCCACCCCTGGAGCGGTCAGGCAGAGTGAGTCTGAGCTGTCTTGGCATTGCGGGCCCCCTTCACTGAGAGAGAGCTACCCCTTCTTGGAAGTGTCTTCTGATTGACAGAGAGCGGAATTTTCCAGGTCCCTGACACCCATTGGCTTGGAGGGTTTGGGAGCTAGCCCAGACCTTGAGCCAGTGAAGAGCTGTACCTGTACATCCCGTAGGCCGGCAGCAGACACCTGTACTCATACATGAATGCCACATCATCATTTTCATCTTCTCACATTGCCTCCGGTCTCACCCTGATGCCCTGGCTTTGCGGGGGAGATCCCTAACTCTCTTGGGTGGGGACCTCCTCCTCCCCATTTCCCAGATGAGGAGCCCAAGATGCTGGGAGGTCAGGTAATAAGGCCAAGGTCACGGAGCTGGGACCTGGAGTTGAACCCACGCCTGGGTGTCTGCCCTGGTTTGTTCTTGGCGTGAGTCACTGTGTACTCTGTTGTCAGCCAGCGCCTGTGGGATTCTTTGCAGAATTAGCGTCTTGACATGTGGTATGAGAGCAGGCACAGTTGAGAAGCTGTAGCGGGGTGGAGTGAGTTTGCGGTGGACTGTGTGTCGCCCTGTGGGTTCGGTCCTGGGAGGGGGCTGCCGTGCAGGTGCTGTGGTCCACCCCCCACCAGTCCCGCATTAGCTGCTAGCGTGAGGAGAGGAGAAAGGGGCGAGTGGCCCAGGGCCTTGGGCATGGTGGTATGAGCCTTGCTGAGGGCAGAGCCGGGAGTTCGGGCTGGCCGAGACACGCGAGGCACTTTTCTCTGGCACTGTTTAGCATCCTGAGCTGCTCTCCAGCGATCGTGTTCTCCGCAGCGTGCACCAGCACATGGAGTTCTGCCATATTATGGGATGGCCTTGTTAGGGATGTGCTCATAGTAAGTGATTTGAACCACACTCTGTATTATACTTACTTCACGTAACCAATCACGTGCCTACACCTTTATACTAATCATGCTAGAGGATTTTTCTTTTTGATTCAGTGAGTTAATTCATCTGAAACAATGTTACAGAGGGAGAAAGAGACCTTCCAGCTCCTGGCTCATGTCCTAAATGGCTGGGTTGGCTGGCGCTGGCCAGGCTGAAACCAGAGCCAGGAACTGCATCTAGACCTCTCAGGCGCTGGCACAAGCCCACGCACTGGGGCCACCTCCTGCCACTTTCTGTGGTGGCAGGAGGCTGGATTGGAAGTGGAACAGTCTGGACTTGGATCTAAGAGGGGACGCTGGCACTGCGCCCTTAGAAGATTTTCAGAGTTCCCCATCAGATTGTCATGTTTTTGTCGTGACCCCCATGCTGTGCTATAGTCTCCTTTTTTAAAGATTTCTTTTCTTTTTTGGAAAGGCAGAGAGAGAGAAAGATCTTCCCTCCACTGGTTCATTTCCCAAGTGTCCATAATGGCCAGAGCTGTGCTGATCCAAAGCCAGGAACTAGGAGCTTCTTCCGGGTCTCCTACATGGGTGCAGGGTTCCAAGGCTTTGGGCCGTCCTCTACTGCTTTCCCTGGCCACAAGCAGGGAGCTGGATTGAATGGGAAGCAGAGCAGCTGGGCACAAACCGATGCCTGTATGGGATCCCAATGGTTGCAAGACAAGGACTTAGCCGCTAGGCTATCGCAGCAGGCCTGCAGTTTTTTCGGTGTGTGTTTTCCCTGTGGTCAATTCCACCTGACTCATCCCACGATGGGATTTTTTTCTCATTACCCACGTTGTGCTCCTATCACTAATATCGCCTGCCTTGCTATACATTCTTCTTCTTAACATTGTTATCCTTATTATCTGCCATCTTTTTGCAAGTTCAGTGTTACCCATATACTTCTTGGTAAAGACTTTGTGTTTTTAAAGATTTATTTACTTACTTAAAAGGCAGAGTTGCAGCGAGAGCGAGAGAAGGAGAGATCTTCCATCCTCTGGTTCATTCCCCAGATAGCCTCAATAGGTGGGGCTGGGCCCAGAGCATGGAACTGCATCAGAGTCTCTCACACGGATGGCAGGGCTCAAGCACTTGGGCCATCTTTTACTGCCTTCCCAGGAGCCTCAGCTGGGATGATCGGAAGTGGAGTGACAGGAGTCCTGGGGCCCTGGGAGGAGTGTGCACTATGACAGACGGCAGGAGCATGTCTGCCAGAGGCCAGGCATGCAGATGGGGACCAAGGGCCAGGGACAGTGTGTAGTGTGAGTGGAGACCATCTGGGATCCAGGGGTGGCCGAGGCTGATGAGCCACGCCCTGAGGGGGCCATGCTGGAGAAGGGGGAGGGCGAGTGAAACTCCTTGGAGGTTTGGGATGGAAGAGCGTGTGTCTCTGCCCCCCTGTGATCTCATGATGAGCTCCCCTCCACCCCTCATCTGTGAGGGGGCACCCACTGTGTGCCTCCTGGGGCATTGTCTACACTCGGCATCACCAAGTCCCTGACTGTGAAGAAGGCCCGGACCTGGACCCTGCAGCCACACTGGCTCTCGGGGTGGAATCCTGGCTCCGAGTCCACTCCAAGCTGTGTGTCGTTAGCCCAGCACCTGCCCCTCTCTGGGCTGACCTGGAAAATGAGCTGCTGCCCCATTCCTATCACTGAGCGAATAATCTGTTCTGGGGAGCATCAAGTTCCGAGTTCCGGGAACAGGAGTGAGAATTCCAATGCCTAAGTTTTACCTGACAAATCTCTGATCCTGGGGGGGTTGGGGGGTGGGGGGTGGGGTAGTGACTGCTGAGGTCAGTGGGGGTGGGGGATGGGATGAGCCCTGCTTTTTGGGACTATTTCAAGGAGATGCTGAGATTGAGAACTTTGCTCAGAGGCTTTTGGAAGCAAGCACTTGCCACTCCAGGTCCCTGCACCTCTGCGGAATGGTGGAGTGAAACCTGGAGCCTGGCCTAGCTCTTCCTGAAGGGGGTGGGGTGTGGAGCTGGAGGGAGTGGCCAGCCTTGCTTCTTCCCGCCCTCTGGCCCAGAAAGTACAAGTGTCACCTGCAGAGGGTTCCTGGGCCACAGAGGAGGGAGACCACCCGTGGGTGGGTGTAGGGGAATGGGAGCCCAGCCATCCCTGGCGGTAGGGAAAGAGGGGCGGAGGTGGAGGGATGCTGGGATGCAGGATTGACACCTGTGAGAGCTGACCAAGGTCACCAAAGTGACCGACCTTCCACTCTGGCCCCCTGGCTGAACCTGCTCCCGTTCCAGTTTGAATTTCGATTCTGGGAGAGGAAGTTGGCGACAGCCAGTGAGGGCCAGCATGGGCCGGTTATGCTCAGCACCCTGTGCTGGGAATGTGAACTCACTTCCTTCTCCCGGCAGCCCAGAGAGAGCCTTGGGGGGGCGGGTTACCCCGAGAGAGGGACGCTGAGGCTCTAAGAGGTGGAGTCATTTACCTGCAAAGAGGCAGAGCCTGGGTTCCCTGCTCTGAACAAGGATGCTACAGTACCCCGGCTTTATTCAAAATATAAAAAGGGACTGTTGAGCACTTGTTCCGATTCTCACAACACAGCACTCGCAGGAAGCAAGGTTTTATGAATATGGAGGCTTGGAGAGACAGGCTCACATTTTCAAGATTGCAGAGCTGGCCTGTGGCAGAGCCTGCACTGGAGCGTCCACCTTCTGTGTGTAGAGCTATCGCGTTCTGGCCCCGCTCCTGACAGCCTCCCACGTGACAACATACATGCTGTCGTGTTACCCTGGGAGACCAGCGCTGTGACACGAGGGCTAAGCCAGCATTTGGGCTGCCTGTGTCCTGTGTTGGTCCCAGTCCTGGCTGCTCCACTTCCGATCCAGCTCCCTGCATAGGCAACAAGTGCCTGGGCCCCTGCCCCCAACAGGGGAGACAGGGTGGAGTTCCGGGCTCCTGATTGTTTGGACCTGGTTACTGTGGCTAGTTGGGCAATAAACCAGTGGGTAGAAGATCTCTCTCTTTCTCAATGTTAGTCTGCCTAGCAAATAAGCAAAAAACAAAAAATTTTTTTAAAGGTATGCAGTAGAAGTGGGTTGAGGATCCCCCAGGCCCGCTGGAAGCTAGTGGTTAGTAATTATGGGGACCAGCAGTGACCATGGTGGGAAGCGGAGAAGGGGTCCAGCTGCTTGTCCAAGCTCACACAGCAAGCTTGGCTGTGGCCTTGACCCTGCCCGGTTCCCTCCAGCCAACAGGGACATGGCGTCCATCGTGTCGGAGATCATGATGTATGTGCTCATCGTGGTGTTGACCATCTGGCTGGTGGCGGAGATGGTTTACTGTTACAAGAAGATCGCTGCTGCTACAGAGGCTGCTGCGCAGGAGAACGCGTGAGTGGGGACCCGCGGGGAGGCGGGGAGGCGGGGAGACGGCCCGGCCTCACGGGTGGGGGGGCGCAGGGAGCTTCTTGGGAATGGTGGTTGTCAGAAATTGGTGAAGGCACTGTCAAGTTGTAGCCCCTCCTCCCCCAGACCTCCCCCTCTTGGGGGTTCAGGATTCTTGTAGATCCTTAGACACCCCCGACCTGCAGCACCAAGCACCCTTCCCTATCCCCTGGTGCTGGTGGGGAAGCTAGTCCCCCTTCCCGCATTATGAGGTGACTGTTCACCCGGCTTTCCTCCACCCCTACCAGCTCGGAATACCTGGCCATCACCTCAGAAAGCAAAGAAAATTGCACGGGTGTCCAAGTGGCTGAATAGCCCAGGTAAGGTGGATGGGTCGCCATGAGTGGGGTCTGGGTGTGTGTGTGTGTGTGTGTGTGGGGGGGGTGATGGTGTCAGTCCACTAGGTCCCTAATTCCCTGCCTTGCTTCACCCTCCCTTGCAGACCCTGGGCTCTGCCTCAAGGATGAGCCAGCCAGCCCTCACACATGCCGAGCGAGCGAGTGAGTGAGCGAGCAAGCAAGCGTTCAGGCTCGGCCCAGCCCCCTGGCAGGGGAGCGGCCACTCCCGGGCATCACCTGCCTCAGAGTCCTGTCCACAGAGCCGCCAGGGTGGGAGGGGGTGGGGGGCTAGGCTGGCACCACTCCGCCAACCTTCCTCCTCCTGCCCCATCGCCCACCCACCGCCATGCATGATGGGTAAAAGCAATACTGCCGCTGCCCCCACCCCCGCTTCTGCTGCCTGTTTGGGGAGGGGGGCGGTGAGGCGGGGGCAGCGGCTCCGCACCCCTCCTTGCTGATTTGCACACATTGGCCGCTTCAGACATGCACTTCTGGAGCCAGCCGCTCCCTGCCCTGTCCCCTGTCTGGCAAAGGGTTGGCGGGGGGGGGAGGGCGTCATGACGGGCTGGGACGGTTTGGGGTAGGGGGTCCTGGGACCCACCCCGACCCCCAGCATTCCCATTTCCCCTCCCACTTCCTCTGGCTGGACCTGGGGCCCCCTCCCTGTGATGCACCTGCTGCCCTCTCTCACCAGCCTTGGATTGTGGCCACTTAGAAAGGGCCTCGTCTCTCTTTACAGAAGTAGTTTTGTTCGTTAATAAAGATTCTTGGACTTGACTCAGAGTCTTTCTCATGAGCCTTGTGTTCCTCCACTCTATTCTTCCAGGGAGACAGGCAGGTCCTGGATCAGTGATGAAGCCCCTGGGTACTGGATTACTGCCCTGGGGTGGGGGACCCCGGAACTGGGAGGCCAGGAGGTGTGGTGTAGGGAAGAGGCTGGGCTAATGCTGCAGTGCAGTAGTCTTGTGGGGTTTGCTGAACCCCTAGTATGGTGGGAGAGGGAGACAAATGCAGAGGGGGAGGAACTGGGGTGGCCCAGGGCATCCCTCCTCCCCAAGAAGCTGGGGCAAGGGCTGGGTGATGAGCAGGTGCACCCAGCTGCTGAAGAAGACCCGTCTGGGGTGCAGGCCACGGCCTGACTGTTGGGGTGCATGTGTGACTGTGAGCCGAAGGCCCTCAGTGACCCTGACCGAGCTGCTGTCGCTGCCTGTCCTCCCTCCCCAGTCCGATATGGCTGGCTCTGGGCTACTGGCAGTACAGCGTGTATCCGCTGCCGGACACTTCCGGCCACTTGGCCAGTGCCTCAGGACTCTGGGCTGCCCTTTCCGGGCCAAGCCCCCCCCATCCCCCCCCAGCTATGGAGGACTTTCCAGGCTCCAGAGGTCATGGCTGCAGATGGCAGACAGCCTGCCAAAGCAAACCAGCCCCCGTGACTTGTAGGAAGGCAGCTGGGAGGAGGGGGCAGGGGTGGAGGGGAGGGAAGGGAAGCTGGGGCTGGAACTAGGTAGGGGCAGTGTGGACCCGGCAAGGGCGGGGTGGGCACGGATGGGACCCTTCCCTTTGATTTCTCCTTCCACTTCCCAGCCTACTGTGTCAGCCCCCCAGCCCCCCATCCACCAGTCAAGGCTGGCCGGGCCCGTCCCTGGGGTCACCTCCCCGCAGGCAGGCAGGCACACCTGGAGCCCACTGGGGGTCACAGGCGAGGCGGCTGCTGGACCTGCCTGGTCCGGCCCCGGGGAGCCTGGTCCCGCCAGCCAGGTGGCCTGCGGCGCTGCCAATCCCAGGGTCCGGCCCCTCCCCGCCCCTTCCCCCGCCTCCTGCCCAGCCGCCTCCTCCTCAGGTGAGGCTGCCCGGCCTAGCAGGCCCCACGCCGCTGCCGCCGCTGCCTCCCGGGCCGCCCTGCTACTGCGGCCCACCATGCTCCTGCCCCAGCCTGGAGACGGACCCTAAACCAGCACCATCTCGCCGCTCCGCCCCCCGCTGCCCGACCCCGGGGTAAGGTCTTGCGCCCCCAGACTCACAGTTCCGGTTCCTAGCACACTGTATCCCGGACTCCGCCCCTCGACCCCCTGTCCAACCTGGCTCCCACTTCCCAACACAGGGATTCCCAGGGACCCTCACTGTGGGCTCTTGGAAGTCCCCCCAAGGCTCCGAGGAGGGGCTCTGGTGGCTCCTGCTTCAGACTTAGAGACGGGCACCCCCACTCTCTGTGTCCCAGGGACCCTTCTCTCTCCTAGCAAGGAGTCGCCAGAATCCGCAGTTGCCAGTCCTCAGCCCTTGCCCCTCACCTCCTCGGTACCCTTTTGCCCCAGGCCCAGATGCCAGGGGTCCCCAGCCCTGTGAATCCAGGCGCCCACCTCCCCACCTCCCCGCCCTGCCGGGCCACTGACCAGTCTCTGACCCCATGCTTGAACCTGAGCTGCTCTGTGTCCGTGACCACAGCATGCTCTGGCCAGGGCCCAGTCCCTGCAGCCTCCCTGGATGGGCGCCTGAGACTGGAGGGCCCAGGGCTGTGCTGGGCTAGACTCCCCTGGGACCTTGCCTCCCCCCATTGCTCTCCCTACAGGTCCCTCCCCGGCCCCGGAGGTCATCCAGGGAATCATTAACAAGAGGCCGTGACATGGCGGAGAAGGAGGGTGGTGAGTCCCCCCACCCTTTGCCCGGGCCCCCTGACTCCCACTCTGTCTGGTGCCTCTGCCTCTTCCCTTTCCTCTGCCCCTTCTGAGCCCCCTCTCCCTGGGCACCCTCCCTCCTAAGCCATCCCCATCCCCATCCCCTACTGAGGCTCCCGCCATCCAATTAACTATTAACCCAACTTTCTGGGTAGCGGTGTAGCCACCTGTCCCCCGCCCCCCATGACCTCTCTCTGTCTTGGCGCAGTCTCCCCTCATCCCCAGCCCCTTCTCAGCTGCTGTGGGCCCTGTCCTGTGTTTGGCACTGCAGCTAGCATGGTTAGGGACCCAGAGCCTGGGCTTAAGCACCCTGGCTGGGCCCTTGGCCTGGTCTGTGTTTTCATTTGTTTTCTGCTGCCCTGGCACTGTGTGACCTTATGCAAGTGTCCTCCTGCCTCTGAACTTTCACCTGCCCCCACCCCCCGGGTCAGGTGTATGTCCTATCATTCCGCCTTCCTCCCTCCTCTGCGAGGTTGTTGGGGGGCCCCCAGTTACACTGGGCATCCGCCAAGGAAACTGTCAGTCCTGGGGTCCCAGGAACTCAGGGAGCTCTGCTGTCACTCGCTGCCTGTGGTGGCGTGTCCTGCCACCCCCCCGCCACCCCAACACACACACCTGGCTGTGTGGGCAAAAGTGCAGAAGGAAGACTTTGGACTTGAGGCCTTGCCAGGGGTGACAGAGAGAAGCCACCCCTGGAGCAGGTTCCCTCCTGTCTGCTTCAGTCGCAGCCTCTTCTGCCATGGAAGGGCCTAATTTGCGGGGAGCTGCCTTTCCGTCCTACCCTCCCCTGGCTGGGGCTGACTCCTCAACATCTTCCTGGAGGCAGCTTCAGTAACACTTTCTGGTTGTCTGGCCTCGGGTGAACAGCCGGCCCTCTGTGTGTCCTCTTCCCTAAAACACCCATTTCTTCTGTCCACTGGAGATGGTGAAAGTATCCATGGGACACTTGAGGACTAAAGTTGTTTAGGTCCTGGAGGGACCCCTGCTGTAGGGCAAGGAGAGGAGAGGGGGCTGGCCGCGGGGGTGCTGACGACACATGTTTGCTGGATGAGCATGAGTGTGTCTTTTGGGAGTTCCTTTCTGGTTGTCGACTGGGCGTGGTGCCAGCAGTGGCTCCCCATCAACAGCTACAAGCGTTTATGGACACCCGTGCCGATCGGGGTCCTGGGCTGGTCTGCAGTTCTGGGAGCCAGCTCTGCTGCAGAGGCTGCTGTCATCCGCGTCTATCGCTGCTGTTCCTAGAGTTGCCTACCATTGCTGGGATGTGATTGATGTTTCAATTAAACCCAGAGCTGGAATTGGGAGTACGTAGGGTGTGTGTCATGTAGAGGGGGAAGAGCATGTTTAAATGCTGGGGGCTGAGAAACTGTCGGCTATGCCTGGTGGCAGGCAGGTAGTGTTGGCGTTTGTTGAGGTTTTTGAAAACAGAGCTGGGAGTGTGAGGGAGGCAGGCTGGACCAGGCTCCCTGGGGCTGTTGTACTCGGTCTCTCCATGAGGTGGCACTAGTGGTCACCCTGTGCTGCTTCTTAGCAGGTGCTTGAACTTCCAGCTCAGTTCAGTGATGGGGGATGTTGTTTGGAAGGCGGCCCCGGAATGTGGAGACGTACTTGCCCGATGCCCACATCCCTATCAGCCATGCATGTGTGCTGGAGGGCTCAAGCTCTGACCTCTGGGGGCACTAAGGGAGTCACAGAGGGTCCCTGGGGGAGGCAGGGATCTACTGGATTTGCAGTGTTGAGGTGGATTCCTGAGCTTCTGTTGGTAGCAAGGACCAGAAGGGGAAACTGAGCCTAGTGGTTGGATGGCGCTGGGGGAAAGGAAGTCCCCATGAGCCAGGTGGTCTCACGGGCTGGGGCGGGGTGGGGGAATATGTATCCTGAGACCAGGCACAGTGCTAGGGAGGAGTGTGGGCAGGGTCTGTGAGGAATAGATCTGGGGAGATGCTGAGGCTGGGATGGCACCTGCTGGGTGTGAGGGGAACCGGGGATTCTGGGGGAAGGCAAGGACACACATGAGGCTGCAGGACCCTTGATCGAGGGTCTCAAGGGAGGGTCCAGCCCTGGGGACAGGATACTGATGCTGCAGGGAGGAGTTGGGGGAGGGGAGAGGAGGCCATACCTTCACTAGGGGCATGGGCAGGGAGGGAGGGCTGGCAGCTGGACATGGCCCCATGGGAGTCAGAGAAGGGTGTTCAGGTGGGTGTGATGGGGGCAGGGGCTCTTGCAGCTGTGAGAGCACCGTGCCCGCGCACCAAGGGCACCTGAGCCTATGCCAGTCCTGGCAAAGGTATTTTAGTGGCCTTTCCCTGCTAGGGAAAAGACCCCTCTGTACCCACCCAATCCTACTCCCTCTGCCTCCCCCCAAGCTCAGGCCACACTGGCTCCTGGTGGAGGGAGAGGGCAGTGTCTCCACCAGAGCCAGCTTAGGCCTGCCTCACCAAGGCTTGGCAAGGTTGCTTTGCATGTGGGTCTTGGCTCCAGGTTGCTTCTTGGGATGCCCCATCCACTGCCACCTGCCTACATCATGTTCTCTGTAACTTCCCTTGGCAGAGCCTGGAGGGCATGCCCCACTCCCTGCCTGTATGTGGGAGCCCATGCTGACGTTTGATCTCCTGCTTTGTTGGGGGCTAGGGTAGTTTTCTGAGTTGGGGTAGGTCCAGGCGCTCAACTGATAGAAGTGAATGAAAGCCCATTTCACCAGTGGAAACACTGAGGCTGGGGATGGCAAAGAGGGTGTTGACGGCACTGACCCTGTCCCCAGCTCTGTCTCCTCGCAGGCTGAGATCTCAGGGGGCCCTGACTCAGCTTTGCTGGGGAGGAGGTGGACCCTGGAAAGGGGAAGTGTGCTGTGGGATAGAGGTGGGCGCTGAGGGTTCGCGCTTGCAGAGCTGCCCACCACGGGCACTATGGCTGTTGCTCTTTACCAAAAGGACTCTGAAGCTTGTTTTTACAAACGACTGCTAGGGTGAGGCCCAAAGATGTCATGCCGCCCACCCAAGACTCGGCTAGGAATGGGTGAGGTCCAACATTTTTTTTTTTTACAGGATTTGTTTATTTATTTTGAAAGAGAGAGAGAGGTATCTTCCATCCTCTGGTTCCCTCCCTAAAATGGATGCAATGGCCAGGGCTGGGCCCAAGCCAAAGCCAGGAGCTTCATCCGGGTCTCCTGTTTTCCACTTGGGTGGCAGGGACCCAAGCACTTGGACCATCTGCTGTTTCCCAGCCTATTAGCAGGGAGCTGGATTGGAAGTGGAGCAACTGGGTCTGGAACTGGAACCTATATGGGATGCAGGCATCGTAGGAGACTTTACCTACCACACCACAGTGCCGGCCCCAAAGCCCGGGGTTTTAAAGCAAGGCTGACAAATTTCTAAATACATTACTTTTTCAAAGATTTTATTTATTTTTATTTGAAACGTCCATCTTCTGATTCATAGTGGCCGGAGCTGAGCTGATCTGAAGCCAGGAACCAGGAACTTCTTCTGGGTCTCCCACATGGTTGCAGGGTCCCAAGGCTTTGGGCCATTCACCAATGCTGTCCCAGGCCACAAGCAGAGAGCTAGATGGGAAGTAGAGCAGCTGAACATGAATCATAACCCATGTGGGGTACTGGCTCCTTAGGTAGAGGATTAGCTTATTACACCACTGTGCTGGCTCCTCAATATATTCTTTAAAAGAATTTTTTTTTTTTTTATTTTGTAATTTGTTCATGCTAAGGAAAGAGTGAGAGAGAAAGAGAGAGAGAGTTCTTCCGTCTACTGATTCACTCTCCAAACAGTTATATAAACAGGGCTATGCAAGTGTGAAACCAGGAGTGCTTAGGCATTTCCTGCTGTTTCCAGTCACATTAGCAGGGAGTTGGACAGGAAGTGGACCTGAGCCAGCATCCATGTGGGGTGTCAGTGCCACGATCAGTGACTTAACTCTGTGCCACCACGCTGGCCCCTTCATGTTCTCAGCCTCCTGGGAGAAAGTTTGCTTTTGGAGCTTGGTCTTGTGAGAGACCTCTGTCTGGGGCTGCCTGGGAGAGACGGGAGCCTGGAGCAGCAGCAGCAAGAAATGAGGTGGTAAAAAAACACCAAGCAGTGAGCACGAGGGCTGCCAGGAGGACAAAAGTCAGGGGTCACAGACCCCAAGAGGCCTGGGGAACCTCTGGAAAAGTCAGCAGAAGTGAGTGGGCCATGAGGGGGCTGCAAAAGCGCAGTGGCATGGGGAGGAGAAATCCCGTGAGGGCCAGGGGAGCGCCCCAGTGGAGGCCAGAGGGTGGAGGCTGGCACCCCGTGGAGCTGGACGCTTGGCTATCCACATGGCCTTGCCAACTGCTCACCCCTGGGAACCCGGCCCAGGCAAGCCAGCTCGGGCAGGAGAAGTCAGGCCCAAGGATTGGGGGATAGGGTGAACAGGGTGGCACTGTCCCCATGCCCAACCCAGCCCAGCCCCATGACAGGCCTGGTGGTGTTCTCAGTATGCTGTCTGTCACAGGTGGCCGGAATGTGGCGTGCTGTTCTGGGATCAAGGTGGCAGTGCTCACTGCGGGGACCCTACTGCTGCTGACGGGCATCGGGGCAGCCTCCTGGTTCATTGGTGAGCCTGCACCCCCTCCTGCTCTCCCCCATTCCCCCGGTACCCCACCCCTGGCCTGCAGGTCTCATCAACTCCTGCCTTCCCCGCAGTGACCGTGTTGCTCAGGAGTGACCAGGAGCCGCTCTACCCAGGTGAGTAAAACCGGCCGGGGCGCCGCTGCAGGGAGACCCTGCAGCAGGCCCTTGCAGGGCGCTGGGTGATAGGCACCCTTTGAGAGGCTGTGCGCATGTGCACAGACATGTAGGAGGGACTGGCAGCTGTGGCTTGCATTGGCCAGCTGTGCCCAGTGCGTACCAGGCACCACTTGATGCACATCTACCTCCTTAAAAGGCTGCCCCAAGGCGGTTAGTGAGTGGAAAGCCACACTTGTGAAAGTTTGAGATCAACTATACAAAGTATTAGTGTGTGTCTGGGCAAGAAAAAATTGTGGATTATTATTATTTTTTGTGTGTGGGGAGGCTCATTTCTAGCTGGTCCTACCCCTGCACCCTGTGAGGATGGGACTGTTAAATGCATCCTCATCCTAACCTCACTGTTAGGTGCTCCATACCACCAGGCTCCCAAGGGCTACATCACGATGCCAGGATGTGTGTCCGAGGTGGAACAGGGTGCAGCGGACTCAAGAGGGATTCCTGGCGGTCCTCCAGCTGACCGAGGGAACAGTTGCTAGGACAATCTCCATTGCTCACAAGGAGGGAACCATAGCTGGTGAATGAAGGGGCCGGGAGCAGCTTGCCTATGATAGATGCATCTGTGGGCACATGGGAACAAGTGACCACATGGACACACAGGTGCCAAAATGAATTATGGGATAGATGAATGAATTGTCCCTGAGGGCAGCTCCTGGCAGCTACCCCATGACCCAGGGCTGCAGGAAGAAAGGAGTTAGGCAGTTGGATGTCTAACTCATTGGTCCTCCTTCGGCTCGCACAGCCCTCTGGCTACATAGCTCCTCATTTGTGTAGGAGGAAACCATGGTAGGACTGAGCTTTGACCTGTAGCCCTCTGAGTGGTGGTTGTCTGTTACTCTGCTGTTTGTTAAGAAAGGGCTGGCATACAAGTTAGTTATAATATTGGATTGCTGGCACACGGATAGCTGATATGCTGGAGCTCCAGTAAGTTTGCAAAAATGGAGCTAAAATGTCAGTTTATTTTTAAAAATGGTTTGAACAAGGCAGTGTTACAAAGAGAGAGAGAGAGAGAGAGAGACAAGGAGAGAGATCTTCCATCTGTTGGCTCATTCCCCAAATGGCAGCAGTGGCCTAGCTGAAGCCAGGAGCCAGGAGCTTCATCCATGTCTCCCACGTAGATGGCAGGGGCCCAAGCACTTGGGCCATCTTTTGCTGCTTTCCCAGGATTCTTAGTAAGGAGCTGGATGGGAAGTAGAGCAGCCAGGACTCAAACTCATAGGGGATGCCAGCATCCCTGGTGGCAGCTTAACCTGAACCATGGTATTAATCCCAAAGTTTATTTTAGTGCAAAAAAAAAAAGTGTTAAAACTGGTACCCCTGCCTCCCTCTCCATTCTACTGACCCCCTTCCACAGCTGCCTCCCTGACCCGGGTCACACCTCTTGGGTCCCAAGTGCCGACCCCCAGCCAGCTTCAGCGCAGCCCACACACCACAGGGCAGCTGTGATTTGTGCATCATCACACCTGAGCCATGGGGCCTCACAGTCCTGACCGCCTCTCCTCCCCCGAGCCTTAGCTGAGGGTGAGGGACAACAGAGCAAGCGTGGGAGAAGGTGACTACCTGGGCAGCCCAGGAAACACCGGCTTTTGCGTCTCACCCTTCGGGCTTTGGTTTCCTGAGCAAAGTCCTTTGTGGTCCCCCAGGGACCTCCTGACCTGCCTCCACCTCCCACCCCGTCCTCCCACTCACTGTTCGTTATCGACTCCTAGTGGGTCCCAGGAGGGCAGTGCCTGGCATCTAGCAGGTGCTCAGGAAAACACTGCTTAATGAATGAACATGAGGACAGATCATAGACACGAGCCAGCCTGAGCCAGCTGGCCTGGTCCCCCGGAGCCTCCAGCTGGCCGGAGGTGGAGCCAGCCACGGCTCAGACCGGACTCTGGCTAGCACCAGTGCACACGCCCTTCACTTGCACTTTGGTGTTGCAAACATAGGACAAACAAGCCCTGAGCTGTGCCCTCGCTTTATTCTCTTGGAGTTCTTGCTCCTTATCTAAACCTATCAGACACAGACAGTTGGGTAAGCACACCGGGTGACCTAGAACATTCGTTTTGCTCTGCTTCAGATAGTATCAATACTAATGTAGAATTCCAAAGGGAGACGCAAGGGCAAGGAATTATGGTTTAAAACACCCTGAAAGGGACTAGTGGATGCTCCCTACCGCCCGCCTCCATCCCAACATGTCCATATTGTGATGTGTTTCTGCCCCTCTCCTTTTCCTGCCTGCCACCCTCAGGTGCTGTCCCAAAGCCTGTCTTGGTCAGTCTTGGCACAGGTGCCAGACCTGCCCTACCCTCACCCCATGTGGGAGGTCACCATGAATGCAAACCAGCCAGGTGGCTTTTCAGTGTCAGCAGTGGGTACACGCATGTAGGGATGGGGACAGGCCAGGGTTCATGTGAATGTCACAGAAGGAGAGGGACCGTGCAGGCCAGTGGGTCTGAGTTCAGATCCTGGTTTTGCTGGGTGCCTCTGGGCAGCTGTGGCTCTTCTGGATTCGGTCACCTCTGGTGATGGTGGCAGGGTTTGGTTGATGGCTCGCGGGACAAGGAGCACACAGGAGCTGTACATGGAGCAGGTTCTCAGCAGGGCAGGCTGCTCCTGGGACATCCTGCCTCTGCTTGTTCGAGAGGACTGCAGGAAGATGACTCTGCTGGGAGCTGTACCCTTCCCCTGGCTTGTGAACCGCTCCCTCTAGCTTCCCTGCTGTCTGCTAGCCTCCATCCTCTCCCACCTGGCCAGCCCAGCAGTGAGCCCCTTGGGGTCTTGCTCCTGTCTGCCCCCACCAGGGAGCGTGGAGATCCTCACAGCCCTGCCTGGTTGTACCTTTTTCTTTTTTTTTTTTAAGATTTATTTTTATTATTTTTTCATTGGAAAGGCAGATATACAGAGAGGAGAGACAGAGAGGAAGATCTTCCGTCCGATGATTCACTCCCCAAGTGAGCGCAACGGGCCGATACTATGCCGATCCGAAGCCAGGAGCCTCTTCCGGGTCTCCCACGCGGGTGCAGGTTCCCAAAGCTTTGGGCCGTCCTCTGCTGCTTTCCCAGGCCACAGGCAGGGAGCTGGAAGGGAAGCGGGGCTGCCGGGATTAGAACCGGCGCCCATATGGGATCCCGGGCGGCAAGGTGAGGACCTTTAACCACTTGCGCCACCGCGCCGGGCCCGGTTGTACCTTTTTCAAAGGCCCCCCGCAGCCTTACTTTGCTGGCACCTCTCTGTATCTGCAGCACACAGCGTGAGCTCTCTAAGACCCTGCGTCTGTACTCACCTCCTGCCAGCCTGACCTCACTGTCCCCACCCCCACACACGCCCTCTATGCATCCCCTTCCTGCAGTGTGACCCACTGTTGCTCTGTTCCCAACTGTCTGCTCCTTCACTCGTCATCCACCCCACCTGCTGGGCTTTGAGCTCACAAGGCCTGAAATTGAGCCTGATCTGGTACCTGTGTATAAATATAAAGAAACACCTGTGTTCACGGGCTCACTCTGCGCATGGACAGTGGACAGGGCCTCCCAGGGGCTTTCCTCCTGAGTCCACGCATGTCCCAGGAGCGACCTCCTGTGGGCTCCCTCTCTGACCTACTCTGGTGGCGAGTTCCATCACCACCATCACTGAGTGAGTTCCAACTCCCCGCTTCCCAGGCTTTGACTTGGTGGCGGCAGAGCCCAGGCCTGCCTCGCTTGGTGTCCCCAGGGTCATCCCACACTGGACATGGAGTCACGTGCCTTGTGAATGCTTGCTGGGCGCATGAATGAGTGTTGCGTGTCCTCTGCTTGGATCATTATGAACTTCAACAAACTCAAGGCTCTGATGAGTCCTGCAGAAATGAAAGCCTCTCCCCTACCCCTTCCTTTTTGCCTCCTTCCCTCTCTGTACTTGAACACTGGCACTCTGATGTAATCAAAGCTCCTCAGGCTGCCCCTACACAACACCCTGCTTAAACCGAAGGGAAAGTCATATACGCCCCTAACCAGCAATTCTGGGGTCCTCAAGCCTGGCTATGTCAGGGGCTTTTCAAATCTTATCCAAACTCTCCCAACTGTCCTCCTTGCTGGCTCAGTTTCCCACCATGGGGACAAAAAGGCTGAAATACTTTTCCTTCTCCCAAATGTCCAAGATAGTGCCAGCTCATGTGTGGGAGTCTGGCTTGGGAGTCCCCGGGGAAGCAGCTGCCCCTGGTCTCCAGGTTGCAGTTTCTTGGTTCCCCTGGTTAGGGGACGACCTGGGGGAAGGACTGCTGGAATTCAGGACCAAAGCCACAGGGGTCAACAAGACAGGACAGGAGAGACTGAGCTTGGGGAGGTGAGAAGGAGTGGGGGTGCTGGCAGAGGACCCAGGCGCCCCTCCCCTGCCTACCCGCTGCAGTGCAGGTCAGCTCCGTGGACGGCCGGCTCGCGGTGCTGGACAAGACGGAAGGGACGTGGCGGCTGTTGTGCTCCTCGCGCTCCAATGCCAGGGTGGCCGGGCTTAGCTGTGAGGAGATGGGCTTCCTCAGGTACCCAGTGGGTCAGGATGGAGTGTGGGGCAGGGAGGGGGAGGTGCTTTGGGACTGGGGGCATGTCTGACTCCTGCTTTGCCCAGGGCACTGACCCACTCCGAGCTGGATGTGCGGACGGCAGGTGCCAATGGCACATCAGGCTTCTTCTGCGTGGATGAGGGGCGGCTGCCCCATGCCCGGAGGCTGCTGGACGTCTTATCTGTGTGGTGAGGAGAGTGAAGCGGGTGGATGACGGGCAGCCCTGGGACCCCAGCCTCATGCCTTGCGTCCATGCCTACTGTCTCTAGTCCTGACTGACCTCCCTCTGTCCCCATCTCTTTCACAGTGACTGTCCTCGGGCCAAGTTCTTGACTGCTGTTTGCCAAGGTGAGACCCTGAGACTCCCGGGGCATCTCTCAGAATCTGGGCTATACTCCACCCCTGCCACTGTCCCCAGACCCTCTAGGGCCAGTTCCAATCTCTTTTGCCTCCTTGGCCACTCCACCACCTCATCCCACCCCCTGTCCTGCAGACTGTGGCCGCAGGAAGCTGCCCGTGGACCGCATCGTGGGAGGCCAGGACACCAGCTTGGGCAGGTGGCCGTGGCAAGTGAGCCTGCGCTATGATGGGGCGCACCTGTGCGGAGGGTCCCTGCTCTCAGGGGATTGGGTGCTGACAGCTGCCCACTGCTTCCCTGAGTGAGTGTCCACGTGGGGCGAGGCCGGGACGTGGACTTGCAATGGGGAGGCTGCGCCCCAGCTGGATGACAGCCCCTGTCTCTGTCCTCTCCTGCAGGAGGAACCGCGTCCTGTCTCGGTGGCGTGTGTTTGCCGGTGCCGTGGCCCAGGCCTCGCCCCATGGGCTGCAGCTGGGGGTGCAGGCTGTGGTCTATCACGGGGGTTACCTTCCCTTTCGAGACCCCAACAGTGAGGAGAACAGCAATGACATCGCGCTGGTTCATCTTGCCAGCCCCCTGCCTCTCACAGGTCAGTCTTGGGGAGCTGAGTCTCAGCTTGCAGACTCCTGAAAACAGGGGAGACGGCCCTGGGACAGGGAAGCAGGTCATGACGGACACGGGCATGGTGACAGCCATGGTGCAGCTGCTTTGGGTTTTGTTGGGTTGCCTCGGGGGTTCAGGATTCAGTCTCTGGAGTGGAGATGGGGCCAGAGAGAATGGTGCTGGCATATATCTTAGGAGTGGTCGTGGCACCAGGTGGAGACAGACAAACCACATAGACATGGCTGGCCAGCGGAGGGACTGCACGTGTCAGCCCGGTGCCGAGCGGCAGAAGCTGGGTACCACAGGGGACAAGGGGCTGACGCATGCGTGTGTGTCATGCATCAGGACACCTGTGTGACTCATGGCTGAGAGTTGTGTGGGCTAATCTAGGGACAGAGAGGAGGTGGCTGGGGCAGACGGTGGGGACGGGGCTTGAGGGGGCTGCTGGGTTTGACAGGTGAAGGTGTTTCTCCAGTGATGGGTACATGTTTACCAGCACAGGAGAAGCTGCTAGCTGCACTTTCTGGGCGCGGGTTTGTGGGATACACCTGCCACTAAAATAATGATGATGTGAAATGAAAGTTGACACAGAAGATGTGAATGAAGCAGAAACGGAGTAGCTGCTCCCAGCCCTTCCCTGGGAGGTGTTTCCTTGTTCTCAGTGAGAAGGATCCCTGTGGGAATCTGTGAGTCCTGGCACCTGCTCCATGCACTCCCCTCCCCTGGAGTCAGGCTGAAGCTTGTCAGTAGGGCCTGGTGGGATCCTGGTGATGCACACGGTACTTGTGGGACCGGTGCTGTGGCACAGAGAGTCAAGCTGCTGCCTGTGACGCCGCTGTCCTTCACTGGAGCGTCTGTTTATGTCTCAGCTTCCTGCTCAGGCGCTTGGGGAAGCAGCACAAGATGGCCCAAGTGCTTGGGTCTTTGCACCTGCATGGGAGGTCAGGATGGAGTTCCAAGTCCCTAGCTTCCACCTGGGCCCTCGGGTGCTGCCAGCTGTGTTCCCAGTACCAACACTCTCTGTGCTTTGCACTGTATCTATGATGTAAAAAAAAAAAAAAAAAAAAATCCAAAGGCAGAATAGCTGAGAGGGAAAGAGATTTTTGTCTGCTGGTTCAGCTTCCCAAGTGGCTATAGCGGGTCGGGTTGAGCCAGGCTGACATCAGGAGCCTGGCACTTGGTTTGGGTCTCCCACACATGGGTGTAGGGGCCCACGCATCCTCCGCTGCTTTCCAGGCGCGTTAGCAACGAGCTGGATCGGAAGTGGAGCACTGGAACTTGATCTGCACTTCCATGTAGGTTGTGAGTGTCCCAAGGGACTCTGCACCATGACGCCAGCCCCAGTTCATTCCTGGCTATTAATCTGTGGTCTTAATTGTCCATGGAAAACAAAAGGACTCCTTTTCCTTAGAAGAGCAAGGGAGCTAAAAATATGAAGGTGGAGGAGTGTCCACAGAGAAAGCAGGTGGGTGGGGGCTAGTGCTGCCAAGAAGGCAATGGACAGCCAGGGCTCAGCAAGGCTCGGCAAGGCTCGGCAAGGCTCGGCAAGGCTCGGGTTGGGCATTGCTGGGTGTGACTCCAGATGCGCATGTGGGCTCCTTTGCGAGAAGCCGTGTGAGGGTTGTTGCAATAACTAAGAGGGGGTAAGATCAGGGGGCTCTGAGCAGGGCAAGCACAGTTCGCACTTGAGGCTTTTTGTTCCTCGTCCTGTGAGTACTCGCCCTGTGCCAGGCTTTATCAAGTTTCCCGCTGCAACCTGTGGACAGAAGCAGTGACAATTTCGCTCTACGGTTCAAGCAGGCTGCAGCTACTGGAGGGCAATGAGTGGCAAGCAGGGCTGCCAGGGCCACCTGCACAGGCTGTGTACTGCACAAGAGGACCGCCTCAGAGGCGACTGCTCTCAGCATGGACCTGTGTATTTCTGTTTGTAATTTTCTTTTTGTTTTTCTTTAAGGATTTACTTATTTGTGTATGAAAGACAGAGCTATAGAAAAAAAAGGGAGACGAGAGAGAAACAGAGAGAGAAGTCTTCCATTAGCTTGTTCACTCCCCAGGTGGCCACGATGGCCAAAAGCAGGAGTTTCTTCCAGGTCTCCCCTGTGGGTGCCAGGGCCCAAGAACCTGGGCCATTCCCCACTCACGTGCTTTCCCGGGCTCGATAGTATAGTGAGCTAGATTCAAAGTAGAGCAGCTGGGACTTGAACCAGCGCCAATGCAGGTTATAGCATTACCCACTGTGCCAGTCCCTCTGTGTATGATTAAAGTAACAGGGGAGGGGTGTCTTTGCACATTTGCAGCCAAGTCACTCATCAGGAAGGGTGGGTCTCTGGTTTGGGCTCTGGCTGTGACAAGTCATCAACTTTGCTTCCCACTTGGGGTAGGGCCCCTCCCCAGCTACCCCGGCACACAGAGTTCCTTACTCTGCTGGCAGAGATGGAGAAGAGCACTTGGCTGTGGCATGGGGAGGTGGCACCCAGTGCTCAAGGCATGCTCTGGCCCACAGAGTACATCCAGCCCGTGTGCCTGCCCGCCGCTGGCCAGGCCCTGGTGGACGGCAAGCTGTGCACCGTGACCGGCTGGGGCAATACACAGTACTATGGTGAGGTCGCCATCCGGGAAATCCCGTGGGAGGGTGGGCAGATGGCAGGGACCCCCTCTCCCAGGGCTGTGGCGGGGGGCGTGGCGGGGCTGTGTCTGCTCCGCAGCTCTGGCCAGATCTTGCCCACGTACCCGCAGGTCAACAGGCTGGAGTACTCCAGGAGGCCCGCGTCCCCATCATTAGCAATGATGTGTGCAACAGCCCCGACTTCTATGGGAACCAGATCAAACCCAAGATGTTCTGCGCCGGCTACCCCGAGGGTGGCATTGATGCCTGCCAGGTGTGCCCCTGGGGGACCTGTCACCCCATGGCTGGGAGGCCAAGGGCAGGGAGGCGCAGGGGTTGCAGGCTGGGGCAGGGCGGCTGCTTCTGTCTCAGCTCCTAGCCAGGCCTCCCTGTCCCCTGTCAGGGCGACAGTGGCGGCCCCTTTGTGTGCGAAGACAACATCTCTCGGACGCCACGCTGGCGCCTGTGTGGCATCGTGAGCTGGGGCACTGGCTGTGCCCTGGCCCAGAAGCCAGGCGTCTACACCAAAGTCAGTGACTTCCGGGAGTGGATCTTCCAGGCCATACGGGTGAGCAGAGCCAGAGGGTGGGGGTGGTCAGCCTGGGGTGGGGGAAGGGGAGGGGAGGCAGAGCCCTTCTTTTGTAGGGGGATGGCTTCTGGGGTGTGGCACTTTAGGCTGGGGGTGGGGGCAGGTCTCCCAGACCTCGGAAACCCTTGGCTGTCTTTCTCTCAGACTCACTCCGAAACCAGCGGTATGGTGACCCAAATGTGACCCGTGGTGTCTCCTCGCTGTGCATGCCTCCCCGGGCCTAACTGACATAGGTGTCAGTGGGACCCAGGCCGGGCCGGGCCGCAGGTGCAAGGATCTTCCTCTAGCCCTTTCCCCAACCCCTACCCCCTGCCGGCCCCTCCAGGGTCTTCCCTTCCACAGTGGCAGCACACTTGGTCATGGGACCACTTGGCCTCAGCCTTCCGACCCCCTCCTCCCAACCCCATGTAAATATTGTTCTGCCATTGGGGGACGCCCGTCCAGGTGCCCCCTCGTGACCGCCTGCTCTTTAAATAGTAATAATAAAGACGGTTTTGATTAAAGTGGTGTCCAAGTTTGCAATTATGAACAGCAATAAAGACCTACCCTGAAGCAGGCTGGTTTCAGGTTCTGCTGGATCCAGCTGCTTGCACAAGCAGGAATGGGCCCATGGCCACGCAAATACCAGGCTTCTGTGGCATGGGCTAGCTCAGTGGGAAACAAGTGCCTTGTCCCCGACGGCAGCTGCAGAACGGAGTCCCTGACCCAGCTCTTGTGTGCTCGGCCCTCATTAAAGGTGTACCCGATACACATGGAGAGGACTGCCCGCGTGTGGGAGGCTCCCCAGAGGAAAACGGGGCACTGCTTCCAGAAAAAGCAGGCATCAGTGCTTAGAGGGCAAAATGGAGCCAGCCACCTCAAGCCAAGGCAGGTGGCAGGTGGCAGGTGGCAGGTGGCAGGTGGCAGGGCCCTGTAGGATGGAGACTGGGCTGCCTGGCACTGTGAGCCCTGCCCAGGCCTCCATTTAATGAGTGGAATACCTGAGGGCGTTCAGCCTGGGCTCCCAGGCCCCGAGGCTCACCGTGCGCTCTGATGCAGGGGCCGCCGACAGAGTCCCGAGCATGCAGCAGCATGGAGCATCCTGTGGCAGGTGACACGGTGCACACCTGACTCTCTGTGTCTGCCTGGATCCAGTTCCTGGGAGCTGTATCCACTCAGATACAACCTCATCCAATCCAGGTGCCTCCTACCTCGAGCCCCTGTCTTTGGATTGAGTGTGCACCCCTTGTGATCAGTCACTCACAACTTGGGATTCAGAGTTACTTGGGGTTCAGTTTACATTCAGCACATAGTGCCTGCATAGTGCCCTGTCCTCCGAGCTGAGTTTGGGTCCCAACTCTAGCTCATCTGTCCCTCTGGATGCTGGTCATGGTGGCCACCAGGGGGCGCTGCTGTCCCTGATGTGACATTAAGGCTTTCGCTGCCTAGTATCCCTTTGGGTGGCCACAGACTGCGTGCTGTGCCTCAGGCCTTTACATCTGAGTGTGTCATGGCCAACCTGAACCCCGAAGCGACGTCCTGAAATGTAAAGAGACCCCAGGAAGTGCCTCAGAATTACTGAGCGGCTCTTCGCCCTGAAAACACCCCTGGGCATCAGACTGTGGTGATGGGTCCCCACAGTTCTGTAGCTTGGGTACTCCCCAGGCCTGTGTCCGAGCAGTGCTTGGTCAGGGGGAGACAACATTCTCGTTTGCTGCAAAATGGATTGTGCTTAGGCTGGGTGAGGTGTGGGGACTTGGGAACACGAGCAGACCTTGTCCTTGGAGCAGACAGCTTTGCTCGGTTAGAAAGGGGCCCTGAAGTGTCCTAGGGCATTGAAAGCCGTCCTCCACCCCTGTGCAAGGTGCAGCCCTGTGCCAGGTCTGCCAAAGCTACTGCCTCCTAGGAGGAGGGGAGAGATTGCAATTCCTTCCCACGGCGAGTCAGGGAGCTGCAGCGTTTCCTGCTGCTGCCACCAACATGCCCTACCCCCATAGCCCCTGATGTGGGACCCCAGACACAGCTTTGCACCCGGATTCGCCAGTTACAGGGGCCTTCCGGAGGTGGGCAGCAACAGGAGGCTGTGCCTGTGCTCTGCCAGCCTGGCATCCTCACGGTCAGGCTGGTCCTGTGATGAGCAGTGGACAGCAAGGCCGTTGGCTCTGCGTTCAGATAAAGTGACCAATACCGCTCGTGTGGTGCGTCTCCGGAAGCACCCGCACTAACAGGGCAGCCACCGCGTGGCCTGCCTCCACGCAGCAGTGCGGTCATTCTCCCACTCTGCCTCTCAACTGGTGCCGGGACTTCCTCCCAGCCTGGCTCCCTCAGGATGTTTCCCAGTGGGGCTCCTGTGAGCCACTCTCCTGCTCCCTGGCCCCACTTGTGCTGCGCCCCAGCAAGCAAGGCTGCGGTCAGTGGCCTGGACTATCTGGAAGAGGACAGGCCTCCCACCTCTCCAAGGGGGCAGGTCAGAGAGTCCAGGCTGCTGTCAGAGTCGCCTGCAAGGCCTCAGTGGGCACTGCTGTGGACTGCTTCCCTCCGCAAGGCCTCCGCTGCAGGTGCGCCTGCTGAAGCTGTGCATCATAAAAGGACAGTGCTAATGGGATTTCACGCAGTTTCAGAGCTGTTCTCCCATCTCAGTGGTTTATTCTAAGACAGAATTAGCACACAGCCACAACACCCGTCTTACCTCATTAAATAATAAGCACTTCTTATTAATAAAAATATTCTTGTCTTGGGATGACCCTTGCGGCACTGAGGGATAAACCTGCAGCACCGTGGGGATGCCAGTTCAATTCCCGGCTGCTCCACTTCCCACCCAGCTCCCTGCTGGTGCACCTGGGAAAGTGGCAGAGGACGGCCTGAATGCCTGGGACTCTGCATCTATTAGGGAGCGATAGTGACATGCATATTTTTTTCTCAACATAAATCAGATCAGCAATACTCCCCAAATAAAGGCTGGTCTTGGCCCTCTTGTAGTCCCCTGGAACTTATGCGCCCAGCAGGAGCCATTGGTTAAATCTTGGCACACACCAGGAAGAGGTGGGCATGGCATTTGGCCTCATGCCAAGAGGCTGCAGTACCTGTTCTCAGGGGACCCCCTTTGCCGGCCAGCCGGGGTACTGCCCTCCTTGGGTTCTGTGGGGGTGCAAGGGGAGGTCTCTGGGCTGCCTATGGACTCTATTTCTTCAGACACTGGTGCACTGGGGACAAAGATGGGAGACCTTAATTCAGAGTCCTTGGGGTATTGGAGAAGTGAGGTGGGCCGCTTGGTGGTGGTAGGATGGTAGGGAGGGAGAGTGCAAATCGGGGTGGCCTGGGTGCCCCGCTGCCTGGCTCTGAGCTGCCTGGGAGTTTACTCAGGTGCACAGTGCTGAATCCTGTTGTCTGTGGGCATCCTGGGCCCCCAAAATTCTAGCTAGGAGTTCCCAGTTCCACTCCCACAAGTCCAGGCCCCGAGCTTCCCTCTCAGTTCCCCAGGAGGATGGACATTAATGTTTAACTTGCTGGGAAGAAAACTGGCAGAGGCCCCAGCAGGAGGGGCACCTGCTGATTGCAGCTACCCAGCTCGCCAGGGCCCCCATCTCTGCAGCCATGGCTTGCCTTGCCTTGCCACAGGCACAGGCTGTGCTCACAGAGTGGGTGGGCAATCCTCCCACCGTGACCCTGAGCATTCATGGCCACCGCACGGCCACTGGAGAAGCCCTGGAAGCTACCTGGCCCCTCCTGGCCCCACCCTGCATTTCCAGACTTGGCTCAGCCTCACCCAAACCGGATGGGAACCAGGATGTATGGAGTCTCTCAGACCCCCTGGAACCACAAACAATGAGCTGGAGGAGGGTTGGGGAGAGGGCTAAGTTTTAGTCCTACTCCGCCCCCTTGCAAGGGCCCCCAGCCGGCCCTGGGTATAAACCAGCCTGGCCAGCAGGAGATAGGACAGCCATGGGGCTGCTGTGGCTACTGCTGGTGGGTAAGTGACCATGTATTGGGGCAGGGGGCTGGCTGCAGGTGGTGGGTCCCGGCCCTGAGCTGCTGTTGTCCCCTCAGCCCTGCAGAGCCCTGGAGTGATTTGGAGCAAGGAGCCTGGAGGTGAGGCTAGGAGCGCTCTCCCCAGCCTGGAGCGGGGGACAGAAAGGCTGTAAAGGGTTGAAGGGAGCACCCACTCCAGGGGCCTCAGGGGTCTCCATGTCCCCCTAGTTCCCCTGCTGTACCCCTACGGGCGGGAGCATGGTGATGAGGTGCTGGCCCCTGAGGACGATGGCTGCTCTGACGCGCTACAGCTGCTGGAACCCTTTACGCTCTTCAGGGTCCCCCACAGGACGGCCTACGTGAGCCCTCACCCCTGTCCCCACCCCCACCGCTGCCCCCCATGCTCTCTCCCCTCCCTGCCCCAAGCCCAGCTCTCTCCTCCCTTCTCCCCTCCCCACTCTGTCCTCCTGGGGGTAGCCCTGTCTCTCCTGCCCCCTGACCAATGACACCCCTTCCTCCCCTAACACACTGCACCCAGACTCACCCTCCCTCGCCCCTGCCAGGTCTGCACCAATGGACTGGTGTCCTTTGGGGAGCCAGTGGCCCTGTTCACCCCCGAGGCGTTTCCTCTGGAGACAGGCCAGGCCTTTGTGGCCCCGTTTTGGGCTGATGCGTCCACGACCAGTGGAGGCCACGTGTGGTACCGACAGAGCCGCCAGCCGGAGCTGCTGCAGCGTGTGGCTGAGGACCTAGCCACTGCCTTCCCTGGTGGCCCTCACAGCCCCCATGCGCTGCTCATGGCCACCTGGGACCAAATCCCCTTCTATGGGTCTCTGGGCTCCCAGGTGAGGAAAGAGAAAGATACATAGAGAGAAGCAGAAGGGAAGACCATGTCACATGGACTCTGATGGAAGAAGCCATTCATGGCCAGGGGCCCCGGGCGACAGGACAGCTGGATGGGCCACAGGGGGTATTGTGGGACCAGGCCCCAAAGTCTAGCTCCCTTCCCCCGGCCCCCTTAGGTGAACACCTTCCAGCTGGTGCTGGCCATGAGCAATGGCACTTCCTGGGCGCTGTTTCTCTACGATGACATCCAGTGGACCACAGGCGTGGCCAGTGGCGGGAGTCCCCACAACGGCCTGGGGGGCATCGCTGCGCAGGTGCATGGATGGGGGTGTGTGAAGAGGCTGCCTAAAGCCCTCGGCAGGGGGTGGGGAGATGGCCCTGCTAATGTTGTCCTTGAATCACCGCCAGGCGGGCTTCAACAGCGGCCAGCAGGGGGAGTACTTCACTGTCCCTGGCTCCCGGACAGCCGACATCTTGCACGTCGTGGGCACCAGTAA